GTCTACTTATTTTAGGGTGCGTTAAAGCGACACCTTTTCACCCTAAAAACACAGTTTTCAAAGACGTTTAGTTTAAAACACGGTTGCGTTCAAGCGATTTGTCGTCAGTCGTAAAATTAAACGTGTTTCAAAACGCAAACATGAAACGATGAAAGTGATGCGTTATTTAACGTGATTCTGCAGAAACACGATCGCTAAAAATGGCTTGAACGAAACGGAGATCTCAATCATGATTATATGACGTCATTGTCGTGGCCTGCTTCCGGTTTTGCCGACAATCGACCATAAACAAATTCAGAAAGCGTGCGCCGAAGTTGACCTATATTTCCTTGGTCAAATTCCCCCTTGTGATGCGCAGTGGTTGGGCTTGAAATGAGTGAGAATCAGCATTTATTTATTTATTTATTTATTCATTTATTTCTAATATTTTGTCAGGGTAGCCCATTCACCAATAAGTAGTGGTCTTCCATTGGGCCCTGAATAAACATGAACATATTTACATCAAAAAGCATAACGTTTATACAGAACAGTTAAAATATAATTATATAGTACGTTTAGAAAGATATAACACAGCTATAGACGTGGCACAAACGAATACTCGTTTGCAAATTAATCATATATCATCAACCTAGCTCAACTGTAATGCCAATAGGAAAATATTGATTAAGTCGCAATTATGCGAATAAATCATGTTAATATAACAGAACATGCACGTCGTGTATGTTAGGCTGAGCTATTCACAAATTACAACTTTGTTTAAACAATCTCTTAAATGAATTGACAGAGGAAGCTGTTGTCATCGAATTATCTATCTAAAAAAATTGGGCTACACCTATAACAATCAATCATTTGGTGAATTGTACTCTTTTGATCAAATTGCCATATAATGAAATATTGAAAGATTCAATTTTCTGAGATTAGCACGAGAGCCTATTATCATGACACAAGTTTTTTTCAGTGTATAAGAACGAGACGATTTGACTCTGTTAAATGCAACAGTTGCGTCATTTGCACTGGCGGTAAGTGTCGTATCGTCATCGTACATATCTATGATACCTTCAGGATTACATCTAGGTAGACTGTTAACATAAATTGAAAATAAAAGGAGGAACGAGGAAGTATAAACAAAACAAATTTTGTCAGAAAAGTTCCCGTTATCAAGTTTCGAGTACTTTTCCTCTTCGATGCCGTTTGTGGTGAATGCTATGTATTCTACAGAGCATAGAAATGAACCTTGTGGCACACCTAATTTGATGGAAAATCGCTTGAACGATCTCCCGCATTAACCGTGTTTTGTAACGGCGTTTTGATTTGAGGATTCATGTTTGTGATTCTAGCTTCAAAAAATTGCTTAAACGCACCCCTAGGCAGATGCCCTGATAGTTTGCAGACGCAAGGCCTTGTCCGTCGCTGATGTGCGTAACAGTATATTCACAGTGAGACATGGCGGCATGAGGGCATACTGCAAAGGCCCTAGCTGATGCAGCCAGAGACTGGCTTTAGTATTTGAGGTAAAGTGTCATATCGGAGTCTGTGTGAGCATACTAGTTTCCTTGAGTGGATTCTTTGACTATGACGAGAGTAAGAAGGGCATTAATACTCCTTTTAAGTAGGCCTGTATAAGTCAAAATCCCTCTGGTTCAAGTTTTATTTTAATAGACTATCACATTGTTAAGACTATCACACTCAACTGCAAGATATGGTGGTGAGGCAGTATATTGCAGCACGTAAATATAATTTGCTTTAAAGTCATCTCTGATGATGAAGTAGGGGAATATACTAATTTTTTAAAATTAAATTGTTTTCCGCTTTTTGGTAACCCTTTGCAGTTTTGCATTCTCCCCCCGAAAAGTGCCCTTTTTGTTTGAATAAGAACTAAAAAAGATAGATTCTGACGAAATCCGTAGGTGCTCTGCTACGCTACGCAGCAGATTACCTAAAAATAAGGGGACGTTAAAACCTTTAGGGGGGAGTCCAACCTGATTTAAAATGTTGCTTTTAATAGAAGCGGAAAAAAGAGAGGAAGAGGGCAATGAAAGTTTGATCAGAGAAAATTTGAGCAAATTCCTAACAAAATTAGGAATTACATCTCTCATTTATATATACAAATATATATATATATATATATATATATATATATATATATATATAAAGGCCTACGCGTGAATATTTATATAAATACATACATGATATAGAAACCTGAACAAACCCCTTCATTCACTTTTGTTTTTTGGGGTGTCAAACTTTTTTACACATGCGCTGATCAGGCTGGGGCACAGCTTGCCGGCTCATGTTTGTAGTGCGCTGCTCATTATTCAGGGGCGATCGCGTGTGCACCTAACCTTTCAGTCGAGGCAAGCCACGGACTTCCCGTTATTCATACCTTCCTATTTCTCTCTCGATTTTGCCAGTTTTGTTTATTTTCTTCTCAGATCTCCCCTTTTCTTCCTGATTTCCCCAATTTTGCTTGTCATGGGAACTCCTCCCTCTCCCTCCACCATCCACCCTCCCCCTTTCCGCCTCCCCCACGGGTACGCCACTGCCATCATAAACAGGTAAGCGTTGCCGTACCGGAACTTGTGAAAAAGTAAAGGTCCGTTCATACCAGTCGCGTAACGAGCTAAAATTTCTTTTTTATGTGGGGGGGGGGGGGAGAGAAAAAAAATCAACATCACCACATAATGCGCAACTGTTTTTTTTAAGAGGGATGCGGATATCAATGATAGCGGTAAATTTTTTTAGCTATGGCGTACCGTTTTTTGTTAAAGGGATAGTTGAGTTCTTGTTTCAGTCCACAAGTTTTTTTCAAAAGTGCATGGTTATTGCTCTTATTCTTAATTATGACATTTCTAGTGCCCTTTTAGACCCTAAAATTGCTATGAAGGAAATTTTAGATCCTAAATTGGAAATTTAGCCAATACGATTATTCAAATTCAGCTCCACTTTCATAAAAATATGGTGACCGTTAATTAATTAATTGATAATAACAATACACGGGCCTGCTGTTTGTGCGTATTATAGCCAAAATTAAAAAGCCAACAAAAATCCAACATCGGCATTGGCTGAAATAAAACGTCAACGTCATAAAATGGATATTTCAGCCTTCTCTTTAAGGTCTTTAAATACAGTTTAACTTGAAATGCGATGGCTTTGCTGTGAGTTGCGGCAGAAAAAAACTCGATATATCGGCAAGTAAAACAAAAAGTGTACTGCGGATGTACCGTTGCGTTTCGAGGATAAATTCTCCTTAAGTCTAAAGGACCGGTCAAATGACATAATATTTTGAAAAACTCCAAATCCAGCCACGATGCAGCCCAGAACTTTTGATATGTTCAGAGATTTAGGACAGTTGGTGACAGTTTCACAAGTTTTCTTTTAAACTGTAGAGAAATAATAAAAGCAATATCAATGTACCTTGAAGCGACTTAAAAAAGACAATTTTGACAAAAATAATAGTTCGACACCAAATAGCGTGAATTTTCATCAGCTAAGGGGGGGGGGGGCGGCACATCCCCTGTCAGACACCCCCCCCCCCCCCCCCCCCTCTGTCTTCGCTGACGCGCCGTTTCTTTCTGTCTTTCATTTGATCGGCACCTTAAGACAGAGCGGGGGAATCTTGAGCGAACCTTTCCCTTTAAAAGTTCTATTTGAAGATAGTTTAGATAGGTATTTTATTGGTTTCCACAATATCTAATTTTACATAGAGTGTAACAACATATTGAAAATGATTATTTTATACATGTACATACAATGCCGGTACACACTATCAGAATATTGTCCATTAAGTTTAACCTAAGAGATAAAGTGGCGGAGCCTATGGAAAAGCAGAGCTTGTTGTGGATAGGCTCCTTAACCTAAAAATGACATAATTAACTAAAGTAAAGTTTATAAAATACAAATACACGCTAAAAGAGGGAAAGGGGGATTACAGGGATACATGCACCGATACTCATAATTAACTACAAAAGACAAGGAAAAGGGAAGGGAATATATCTGCAGCTTATTGAAACAATATTAAAATATAGTTTGTTCTCGATATGAGTATATAAGAAACATAGTTGGTATGGTCATACCGTTAGTTACTCATTGTAATGAAGAAAAGTATACAGTTTGGAGACAAGAATGATATGGATTCAGACACTTTTTTAAAGAAATGTATTAATTGACACTTCTCTGGTTCCGCGCGCGTTACAAAAATTGTTGGCTTCTGAAATATGAATAAAACTACAACATGCTCAGTGCCCGAGTGCGTAATGTGCTTCATTTGGACTGTGCGCGAGCTTGCGAGCCTGGTGCACAGCCCGGACTGTTTCCGTGCCGTGCGCCCAATCATCCGAGAAAATAACACACCCTATAGGCTGAACCGGTGACAGTAGTCCTTGCCTCTCATTCTGTACCTTGATCACAGCCTGGACTGTGTCCGTATCGCGCGCCCAAGCAACATACCCTCAAGGCTGAACTGGTGACAGTATAAAGTTGTCCTTGCCTCTCTTCTGTTCTTTTCGACGGTTGTTTGGGGGATCGAGCGATGAGTGGAGCGATGTGTGGGATGCGTTTAGGACTAACTCAAACCTCACTGAGCCACAACATAGAGTTAAATTGCAAGGGTTAAGGCTGAAGCCAGCTCCAGATCTAACGACGCTGAGGTGATGTGAGGTGAGTTTTAGGGGGCAGCTTGGCTGGCCATTGGCCAACCGATCCGAACAGACATATACGCATTTTGTGTCCAGACTCCAGAGGTTAAAAAGTAACCTTGGAAGATCTTTAAATTTGGAAAATTTATTAGTTTGACTGAGCTCTATATGGCCCCGTATTATACAGATTTACGATTAAGCGTAACTTTGAAAAATCAAGCATATCTCCTCAAATATAGCGTAATGTTGATAACCCATCTTATAAAGAAAGGGACGCTTGACATCAAGCGTAAAATAAAGCGTATATTTTTTAATTGATCGTAACTTTGTGCTTAATTTTTATCAAGCATAAAGTTACGAGAAAAAATGGCAGCCATACTGCTACTCCTGCAGGAAGAGGCTGGTACATGTAGGCGACTACGGGGCAAAGAATCTTCCGAGACTGAGTAGACCCATTGGATAGGCCTGACAATAAAAATAAAAGTTCAGAGAAAGAGGCAAAGCCAACAAAGAGATTAATAAACACAGATGTACCACATCCATTATACAGTGTGTCCCAGAAAAAACGAAACCGAGAAGTATCGATTTTCTATCATAACTTAATCACAACTATGATTAATAAATGATACATATTTGGGAAGCTTAGAGTCTCCTCTTTCATGTGATGCTACTCAGATAATGCATATTTCACGCATGAGAGACTAAAAGCAATTTGAAGGAAGGAAACCAAAAAGACATTTGGCGGGCGGTATCTGAATTTCGAAGAAATATTTACATTTCTAGAAATTTGAGTTTCTGCCCTTTCATATGACACCTCAATCAGGAAAAATGAGTGAGGAATTGTTTAAAGTAGTGCTTGCATTTCCATAATTTTATTAAACGAATTCGTTTTCACTGGCTGCCTGCCGTATCAATAAACGAAATTAACAAAAGACTTAACTCCGTTTCGTTGACAATCAGCCGTATACGAGAGTCTTCATGCATGGCTGATTGTCAACGAAACGGCGTTAAGTCTTTTGTCAAATCACGTGAGTAGCATCAACTGAAAGAGGAGACTCTAAGCTTTCCAAATATGTATCATTCATTAATTATGGTTGCGATTAAGTTATGATAAAACATCGATACTTCTCGGTTTCGTTTTTTCTGGGACGCACTGTACATTGGTTTAGAATACTAGTACTAGATTGAAAATTTTGGAAGATATACGACGTCATCGTCTGTTAATTTATTAGACAGCTACAAGTATAACAGTAAGCCCAAATTATGCCTGGATTACATTTGGCCCGGGCGCCGCACGATAAATTGGTTTACGATTTTTCGCGCGATTTTGGGGGCATCGTAAGAGGCTAAGGGCTACGATGTTTGTGTTTACATTATCTACGAGCATCGTGCCATTTCTTGTATTGGCCTACGGGGGCAGACCGGGACACATTCGTAAAGAGGTTGCTCGGAGATTGTACGGAAATCGTGCAATTTCAGTGCAACACCCGTGCAGCCTCTGCAATCTCTGCATGGAAATCGTACGAAGCTCGTGCAGCTTTCGTGTAGAGGTTGCGCGGAGAAGGCGCGGTGACCGTGCAGCCTCCGTGCCGTTTTTTCGGCGTCTGTTGCCCCCATGTTTACTGAAAAATCGTGCGTTTGCTGCACGATCAGCGTGAGGCCTCCACGCAATGCCCGTGCGGGGAAAATAAAAAACACAAACATTTTAAAAAGCACGTAGAAGTCGAGTTATGAACTTTACTTTCCGTATTAGGGAATAATATGGCTTGTACTTTAGGGATTTAATTAGATAATGAATAAATTACAAGAAGATAGGACATGTGATTATAAATACGGTATGATGATGGACAATTACTTTGTGTTAAATAGGTCTTAAGTCTACGTTTAAAAGTGTCAAGAGTTGGGGATTCACGGACAGGGACGGGGAGATTATTCCAGAGTTTAGGAGCACATACAGAGAAGGCATGATCTCCATAGCGGGTGTGAGTTCGAGGACCAGATGATAGTTGAAGATGAACAGATGATGATGAGCGGAGCCTGATGCTCAGGAACTTGGTCCTCACTGTGTCTTTTTCCACATGGTGCAGTCACTTAAAATCCCATCTTGACGATGCACCTTGAGTTTGATATGACAATGTTTGGTTTATATATTTATGCAATTTATCTGAATTGTAATTATGTATGAATTCCAGTTAATCATATTTATCTACATATACATTAATATTTTTGTAGGGGTAAAGTAAAATGTTATTATGAAGGCACCATTAAATTTGAATGTTCACTCTCAGTTGAGTCATTACTTAAATTTCCAATACTATTATGAAATCTCGGATATTTTGCTTAGCAGTGCAATTTAATTATTAGAAGAATGTTTTGTTGTTATACATGTATATTTAAATAAGCTGGCCTGCCAACATGCCACAGCAGTTTTTACTGATATATTGTTAATACTTATTTTCCGTAGATTTCAACTTAACTTAATAATTTACTATTCTCTTGGTCAATTGATTATTGAATGACCTTTATCACCTTATGTTTCTACATGTATATTCACTATTCAGTGATTTTAACCTCGACTGAGTTAGTTATTTCAACTTTTATGCAATTTTTCTTCGATGACACGTATATATATGCATTTGCTTTATCTGTGCAATATTATCACTGTTGTAATGTCACATTATGCATGTTTTTTTAATATAAGTATTAGGTTTCATACATGTATAGGTCTATATGATTTTCTAGGGTTGAATCACACTCCAGATACAGAATTTCCCCTCATAATCATATTGTGCCACTTTTTTCTGCTGGTGTGGTCATGAGTCTCCGGCATGTGATGCAACCCTCAGGAAATTTGATGGCTTTGTCTTGATGCATTTTAATTATTTGAATGTGGTACATGTATCTCTTATATTGTCCTTGTCACATAAATCTGCAACACTGGTTGCGTCTGGTTGGGATATAGGTGAGGGCGGTCTGCGGACTATAGTTATTTGGTTAACTTTGCCCAAGGGATGGCAGCACAGCCGGGCGCACCAGTGTACCTTTTTTGTGTGTGATTTGCTATTAATTGTTTATTTTTCAACTCTGTATTTTGATATCATGTGTTTTTTGCCAAATAAAATAATAATAATAATAATAATAAATTCATTTCAATTGGCCCAAGTAAAAACAGACATTTTGTGAATTTTTGGGCCGGTGTACGGCCGGCTTCCGTGCAGTACCTAAGGGCGCCGGGACATTTTTTAAGCTGTACAAGCGCCGTGGTGATGAGTTGTCCGCTCCAAATTCACCCAGCGTTTTTATCTGACCGTTAGGCCGTAGGTAACCCGTAAAGGGCCCGTGGGGCTCCGGACGGTGCCCCCACGGGACCCGTAAGGTTTGGGGGAGGAGTGCTCTTTTTTTGTTTAATCACCACCCCTCCCCCCCCCCCCCCGCCGATTTGAGTAAGAAAAACATTTTTTGTTTGTTTTGTTAAAACCTATTTTGTTATGCCAGAGAGGGGGCCCGGGCCCCCGGTCCACGGACTGAAATAATTTTCGCCTCTGTGAGTCTCAAAATAGCCCCCTAAAATCCTAAAAACCGTACTTAAAGAAGTGGCTTTTCTATGAAAAGTGAAAAGTTGCCTCGTATGTCGCTATTAGGGCGCTTTTGCAACGTGACGGGAGGCAAAGAGAATTCACTCAACCGAGATCTTCCTGTACTATGCTCCCTTCTCCTTTTTTAACCTGTATATAGAGCGCTTCCGCAAACACGACGGAAGGCAAAGACGAGGGTAACCCAGCAAAATAATCAATCTGCGCATGTGCGAACCAGAATTTTCTCCGTCTCGTTGATTTTCACGACCGTTCTCAGCAATAGCGTTCGCTCCCTAAACTTGTATCGCCGTACAATAGACCATTTTCGTAATGTAACCAAATTTAATGCATAAGCCTTTGTGAAGTGCCTCAAAACAAATTATTATTATTATTAGTATTAAATAACCGCCCAGCCCGAGCCCTATGCCCGAGCCCTGACGGACCCGCACGAGGTTGCAGTTAGAAGACGCATCGCACTGCTAGCTCGCACGATACGAGTCCTGTACTGGCAATAATATAATGCATTCATTATATGGCCGTGCGCGTGCCGTTTCCATGTAAAGGCCTACATGCTTGTGCACCGATATATTTGTTTTAACGAAACATGCAAAATCAATGCCGGATTTTTTTTTACCGTATAATGCTAGTTTCGTAGACAGAAATTGAAATTTGTTATAAAAAACACGTAAATAAATATATAAATGATGTTCCTATACCGCACAATTTGTCTTATTGTGTAAATCGATTTTATTATGTATGATGCCATTGCTAAGCCACCAATGACAATGGCATCGTACAATAATATAATTGAATCACACATCATTGATGGCATCAATTTCTTTCAACGAAATGAAACTAGCTTTGCCTTTAGAGTCTATAAGGGAAAAAATCCGGCCATGATTTTGCATGTTTCGTGTAACAAATATATCCGTATATGGATCAGCATTACAAATATTCACTCATATTTAATGTTCTTTTTATAAATAACCGATTTCAAACGGAATTAGTTATATATATATATTTGGATTATAGTGTCCATGATATAAATTCGGGACAGACAAAAAGTACTAAATAACATATTACGTACTAATTTAGTACATAATGGTGCATCCACACTTACTCATACCATGATATATCACAAACTCAATGGAAGATAGTGCGTACAAGTAGAAACCGTACTGGCAGATTCTGCAGTCTTCTCCTTAAATTGTAATTTTGACCACGATCTAGTCTTCCGATCAAAAATTGAATCTACATATAATTATAGAGTTAAGTCTCAGCGACACATTCAAGCGGGAGCACAGGCGGCACGTTACCCCCCCCCCCCCCTGGCTGATACAAAAAGAGAGGGAAAGACATTTTAAAAAGGATAAATGGGGTGAAATATTCAAAAGGTCATTGACATTGTCATTAAACATGTCAACTACGAGACATGAAGCAAACAAAATCCATATAGAAAAAGGAATAAAAACATAGATTCTTACGAAATCAATAGGTGATGTCCTACGCTACGCTGCAGATCACCTAATTACAAATGTTAAACGACTAGTCCAGGTGTAACAAGCTATTGAATTTTAAGAAAACAAAGTTTGTATTAGTCCATTCTAAATTAAAGGACAAGAATTTACATCACACACTGAGCCGATAAGAATTGAAAATAGGGACTTTTAGATTCGCACGAAGGCAATAGGTCTATGCTACGATCGACGTCCTGTTAATTCACTGCCGTGAACGGACGTCACACGTATCAGTCCACGCAAATCTAAAAGTCCCTAATACTGTTATTGAGAGAACTGAGTCGTTTACTTTCTTAAGTATTCTAATTCATGAGACTGTGTGTCATGAGACTGTGTGCCTTGGAGGAACATTACAAGAAATGCTTTCATTCAAATATTTTGATAGCTGTATAATTATCCCCAAAACGTTCATCGTACCAAATCATTCAAGATTCAAGTTCAAGATTCACACAAGACTTAGATCTGCAAATTTTCTTCTGACAATATTACTTTTAGTCACCCTACATTTGGTAAAGTCACAACATATTTAGTTCCATCAACTGAAACAACATGAATTTTGTGATAATGTTAACGCTTTCCTGGCAACAATATTACCACTGACATTGCACTTTTAAAGTCATCAGTACTTCCTATTTTTTACCATTCTGGTAACATCGAATCGCTCGACCAACATTAAAGGTAATGCAAAGTTTTGGGAAATTTTGAAAATTGCATGGATATTATTTCTTTAAAATTTTGATAAATTTGGATGCCCCTGTGGATGTATAATAAGTACTAGAAAATTTAGCCCCTAAAACAATTCTGCTTTTGAGCAAATTGAATGATCAAAATTTACCGGCGCTCCCGGTAAATTTAAATTCCATTCCATGGTAGCCGCGACCATGAAAATCTCAGAATATGCAATTCTGATATATAATTTCCAAACAGGAATAGCGATCGTTCGATTGTAGTCAAGAAACATTGTTTTAAAGCTAAAGTAATATCAGTCTTGAGAGGGAGCTATACAACATAAAGAGTTTATTATATACAATGTTATCACTTTATTAAGACTCGATTTCAACCACGACAACGATCATTGAATATTGTAAAAATCGCATATACTTCCAATATTTTTATTTGAACCAAATTCATGACCTCATACCAAAACTTGGTCCAATCTTCATCATCAACACAATCGTGGTTTTACTATTCATAATGAATATTTTGAGTAGTGCCCTAAAGGAGAGGGCTCTTAGGAGGAACAAGAAAGTAATAATAATGACAAACGGAACATTTGTGCAATGACTGCATCTCAATCCACTGACCAAATTGCAAATGTAAGATTTGCACGGATTTAGTGATCTTATATTTCAAACATTCATAACTCCCTTATAATTGGCTTGTTTATTTCAAAAATTCGCTTTTTTGTTTCTATTTTTTCTGCTTCTATACCTAATTATCACGAGGGTTAGAAACTACTAAAAACTGTCCCCTCATTTGTTACCCCCCCCCCCCCTCCCAGTTGCTTTGTGAAAAAACAGTATCATTGAGGGTAGTCAGCCCCATTAGCTCCGTTCACATATAACAGGATAAACCAACTGAAAGAAAATGGCCAAAGCTAGACAAACAAAAACAAAAAGACAAAAAGTATGATTACAGAAATTCGAAGCGCACATTTTTTTTTTTTTTTTTTTTAAATCCATTTATTTGGCCATGCTTTTCGTGACTTGAGGCTGTTTACCTCAAAAAGTTAGGAGGTTTAACACCAACTCTGAATCTATTTTGTACATCATATATTCTATAAATTAATCCTCTATGATGTAAGCCTACAAGTTTTTTATTTGTTTATTAGTAATTTCAAGCAGCCATAACAGGTATACTAATGACATCTTTCCTTTTCCTATTGTATTCCAGGAAACATCTTTCAAGGAAACAAAGAAGAAGCTTAAAGGCACTATGGAGCAGGAGCACAAAATGCTGTGCAATTTTCTCCTAACACAAAACGGAAGTAATTCTATCAGACTTCATGCACTTGTGAGCATATTTCTATGTTTCGTCATTCTTATACATCATCCAAACAGTGTGGTTGGGACACTAGGGGCATACGCACCTATAGAGTTCATTAGCGAAGCAGAACATTCACAATTTACCAACTTTGATGTGGATGAAAGAACCGGTGATATTTACATTGGAGCGAAAAACTCCTTATTTCATCTCCATTCAGACTTCAGTTTACAGGAAATAGTAAGTACTGCACCTGATCCTGCAGAATGCCAGGATCCAGTAACCTGCATCAACTACAACAGGATCCTTGCTATTGCACCATCTCCCATAGAAAAGCTTATCACCTGTGGAAGCTTTTCACGCAGGTGTCAGTATCGTGAGCTTGTGAACATATCAAATTCTGTTGAGCACCAGAGAATAGTGATCAATGCAAATACCCCGGCAGTGGCTGTTCTCCATAATGATTACATGTATGTTGGAGTTAGTCCAGAGTTCCCTCCATCTAATCATCCTCCCTACGTCACCCAATTGCATCTGGATTCACTCTCTTTGCGAGAAAGGCTCAATAATCAGAACGTTCGTGCAAGTCAGGAGCAGTTTGCGTTAAACTTCGTCAATGGATTTGAATTTCAAGGATTCACGTATTTCGTCACCAATCAACAGCAAATGATTGGTCAGGATCCACCTCAAGACCACGATTACATATCTAAGATTAACAGAGTTTGCCAAGAGGGCGACGATTTAGATTCATTTACAGAAGTTCAGCTAACATGTTCTTTAGGCAGCGACCGATCCTACAACCTCATTCAGGCCATTGAAGTGTCTATCCCTGGGAAAGATCTTGGTGAATCTTTCAATAGCAGTGAAGATCCTCTTCTCTATGCTGTTTTTGCTGAGTCTTCTGATTACACGGATGAACCTGCTGATCCTGCTCACTCTGTGCTATGTATCTACAAGATTTCTGAGTTACTTGCAAAGTTTAAAACTGCAGTGGAAGATTGTACGAGTAAAGGAGAGGTTGAGGTTCATGGAATACGGCATTTACAATCCAGATGCAACAATATTGTAAGTTAAAATACTTTGTTTATCAACGTTCAATGAGTATTCTGAAGTAGTTGGAATTTTATTTGATGTACACTCTATTTCAGTATATTTGGACTACTATCTTAACAAACAAAAAACATTTCCTCTTAAATAGTGTAATTTTGTTTTAAATGTTCTCTTTATTCTGGTTTGCATGGCAGATAGTCCTAAACTGTAATGATTTTTAACATGCTTTCTTGGTTCAGTTTGGATGCAGTAGTGTAGAACTACATTAAACATTAATATGAGCTGGAATATATAGCTGATTAATATTATTTCTTAGAAAAAATTTGCAAGATTCCATACCAAAATCAGACTATAAATAAAAATCGAAAGCCATTTATCATAAAATGTGTGTAATATTTGGCACACTTGACATTCATCTCTGAGAAAACTTACATGCTAAGATGTTTTTCTTATTTTTTTTGTTTAATCCATACAGGCTCTTAGTCGTCAATAATGTTTATATCTTATAGTATTTCAGGGGTAATTTTATATTTTCCAATACATCGTCTGCACGTGTGTTTCATTGGTCTCTCATTTATTGAAGGATCTACCGGACATTGACCTGTGTAACGTAGTTTGGCACAAGTATGCCAGGGGAACCGAACCACTTCAAGCTGAAGCTGTTATCCTATTGGATAACGTACTGACCACTTCGATCCGAACAGTGACTGTGGACAATAAGACAGTGGCCCTCATAGGTACAAGCACTGGAAACCTTCTCAAGGTAGGATTTTTTTTCATTTTAAAATTTATTTCATTTAGATATCGTCTTGCAGCTGGCAGAAGGGCGTAACCATTGGAGTGATTGGGACTTTAGAAATATTTTTAGATATATACACATTATATATTTACTCTTGTTATAGTCGATAAAGAGAGAAATCCCAGTCATTGTAAAAAAAAAAACGGCATAACATGTATAAAGCAATCAAAATCATAGAAATGAGTTTCTCGAAATTTGCTTTGTGGGATACACGCTAGCTTTCACCTATTCTTAGTCACACAAAATTAAGTAAAAGAAGTATAGGCTTTTTGTTCTCATTGTGATATTCCAAAATAATCCAAGTCAAGATCTTAAGTAAATTTAGGCGGAGGCATATTGGAGAACCAGTCGCGTTTGTCCCTTGTTTAACGATGCAAATGCTAGCAATGTCAACTGGTTCACTGGTTCAAATTTTGCTTAACCAAGCCTACATGTTTTACTTTCTGCGCAAGGAAAAATGTTAAAAGATTTAAATTCACTGAGGTTAATAGGGAGAAGATAAAAAGTAAAATAATGAAAGTTGTGCTATGAAATACATGTAGTAGGCTGACACCTACCTTTATTATTATGGGGTCAAATCTAAGTAGTACCACCTTTAAAGATGAAGTCCCCTCTGATATTAAGTTGGTTATGATAAAAGCAGGAAAATGAGAAAAACGGGTCAGTGAAAGTTTTAGCAAAATCTGATTTGCAACACAAAATGTATTTATTTATTTATTGATTTGACATATTTATACAGGATAAAAAAAGAAACAAACGAATCAGCAAAGCTGTTTTTCATCGATGTCCTGTTAACATGATTAAACATTTCTGATTCTAACCAATGGGATTCAGATTGGGTTGAGCGCACGAGCATGTACATGCTTATGCTGCTCTCCAAGAAGGAGCTCCTAATTACTTGATTTTGCTATATTTGATCTTTTGTACTATTACTATATGATTGTGTAAGTTACATGGCATCAGCTGGTCGAATTGTAAGTTTTATATGTGATTATTTCTGTTCTTGAATGTTACATTTTTTTATTGCTGTTTGTACTAGTACCATATGCTGTTTGTACTAGTACCATATGTAAGAATCTATGTTCCCTGTACACCTCTGTGCATTACTGTACATGTACATGTACCTCACTGTGTAGCTTTTGTGTATTGTTTGCTTCAACGAACTTGAATGCTTAGACTCAGATCAAACACAATGCAGCCTTTTTCATCTGGGACTATTCATCATTCTGTGCTGCTATGCCAGTGCTATTGACTTCGTTGACTGCAGCGGACAGACCATTGTCCATCCTTTGGGTTGTCAACCATTCACCAGGAAACATTTCCTTAAAACAAGGATCCCATACAGTGTTAACAGCAATGCCTCCTTCCAGTTGGAACTACTTCATGCCGGTGATGTCCACCCCAATCCCGGCCCAGACAAGCAACATGATGACACCCTACTCGCTACAAAACGTCTTGTCAATCAACCTGCTGCTGTCATCAAGTACACCCCAGCTGAACTCTGTCAGTGGAAAGATTTCACTGCACCTTTTCCATTACATGTTTGTGAAACTATTGGATTATATGGAATTCAAAAGACGACGCGTAAGAAAACCAGACGGGGTAATCAAGTTCAAGTTCAAGTTCAAATAAGAATGTTGTAAGGTGCAGTAAAATCGAGGCGGAAGGAAAAAGAATAGTCTTCGACATGTAAGTCAAGCAACGATTAGAACTTCATCACTTTCAGATCGTCTTAAACTTTGTTCAATTAATGTACGCTCTGTTCGTAATAAAACAACTATTATTCACGATTTTGTCCATGAAAGCAATGCTGATTTAGTCACACTAACAGAAACCTGGTTAACTGCGAGTGACACCGCAGTTCTACGAGAATTTGTTCCCTCTGGGTATCGCTTCCTTCACCATCCTAGGACTGGTCGCCGCGGTGGTGGAACTGGTCTTCCCTCCAAAGATTCCATCGATGCTCGTCAAGTTGCCGCTGGTCAAAAGGAATCATTTGAGTATGCTGAATATCATATTTCTTGTTAATCGTTTCGTCTTCATTTGATCAATGTATACAGACCACCATATTCAGAATCTCATCCCGTGTCTGTTTCACTGTTTCTTTCTCAGTTCAATGAATATATTCAAGATCACCTTTTGTCCAATGTTCCATTACTAATTACTGGTTATTTTAACATTCGAGTTGATGTAAGCTCATCTGAATCAAAGTCATTTAGAGACCTCCTCGAATCACTCTGTTATACTCAATTTGTAAATTTTAGTACTCATTCACATGGTCATACCCTTGACCTACTTATTTGTCGCGAGTCTGATGATATAATTGTTGGCCAACCATGGCCATGTGATTACCTCCTATCTGATCATATTCCTGTTATGTGCCATCTCAATACATGTAAACCAGTATTGGCTGACAAACTTGTGCCGTATCGCAAATACTCCCGTATTAATGCTAGGATGTTTAGTATAGATCTTGCAGAAAGTATACTCTGTCAAAATGTACATGTACCCAGTGATATCTCTGATCTGGCCTCCTTGTATGATATCACAATCAGAAAGGTCTTAGATAAACATGCTCCTTTAGTTTCAAAACGAGTAGTTGCCCGTTCTCATGTGCCATGGTACACGGACGAGGTTAGGGCAGCAAAGAAGCAAAGAAGAAAAACACAGAAACGATGGTCTAGAACACGATCTGATCACGATCTGAATGAGTACAAGAAAGCTCGCAATGCAGCATTGTATGTTTTGAATGCTGCTCACAGAACTTATCATAAAGATTTAGTAACACATAACAAAGATGACTCAAAGGGCTTGTTCACTGTCATCAAATCTCTCCTTAATGTTTCAAACAAACAACCAGTGATGCCATGTAACATTGATAAGAAGATTTTTGTGAATGACTTAGGAAAATTCTTTCATGACAAGGTTCTAAACATTCACAGTGACATTCAAACTAGCATAGGTTCGATGGATAGAATTGATACTGATTCATCAAGTCTTATTCCAGTACCTGATGGTATCAAGCTTGATAAGTTTAAATTTTATCTGAACAGGAAGTAGGGAAACTTGTGATGAAGCTCAGCAAGAAGTTGTTCTGCTGATCTGATTCCAGCAAAGATTCTCTTGCAATATATTGATGTTATACTACCTGTGTTCACATCCATGATCAATGTCTCCTTGTCTACGGGCCACTTTCCTAAAGAATGGAAAGTCTCACTTGTTTCACCATTGTTGAAAAAACCAGGGCTTGATGTTGAATTTGGTTATCTTAGACCCATAAGTGACCTACAATACATTTCTAAATTGGTAGAAGGTGCAGCCACACAACAGATTTTACAGTTTCTTAACAGTAATCCACTCCTTCCATCCAATCAGTCTGCATATAGACAGTTTCATAGTACAGAAACGGCACTACTCAGGATCCAGAGTGATATTCTGATTGCAATGGACAGACAGAAAATCACTCTCCTGTTATTACTTGACTTGAGTAGTGCCTTTGACACTATTGAGCATTCCAGATTACTAGATATTTTGAAGATATGCTGCGGTATCGACGGTGTTGCTCTCGGCTGGATCGAGTCATACTTGTCTGATCGACATCAAAAAGTTAAAATTGATGGCATTGTCTCTGACTCTTTCCAGGTGCCCTTTGGTGTGCCACAGGGCTCGGCCCTTTGCTTTTTATGTTATACACGAGTAATCTAATCAAGAGCACTCAGGATAATTTTCCTGAAGTCTCCTGTCACTGTTATGCAGACGACACACAATTATTGTTATCCTTTAAACCATCCACTAGTACTCAAGATGCAAGTGTTTCAATGTTGGAAAAATGTGTTAATTTTATTCATAGATGGATGCTTAACAATAATCTTAAGCTAAACGACAGTAAGAGTGAATTTTTGGTTATAGGAACTCCACAACAGATCTCAAAAATAAGCATTGACGGTGTAAGAGTTGGATCCTCCAATGTGATACCCTCTGTTACAGCAAGGAATTTAGGAGTTTACTTTGGTACTAATTTAACCATGGAAACATATGTTAAAAATATATGCAAATCAACATACTATCTTCTGTACAATCTCAGACGTATCCGCAAATATTTTGATCAAGAAAGTATGAAATTGGTTGTACACGCTCTTATCACAAGTAAGCTTGATTATTGTAACGGGTTGCTGTTTGGAATGCCTGATTCTCTGATAGCTAAGTTACAAAGAGTCCAAAATGCATGTGCAAGACTTGTCTATCGTCGGTCGAAATTCACTTCAACCGCACCTCTTCTGAGAGAACTCCACTGGTTGCCAGTCCGTCAAAGAATCTCAATCAAAATATTGTTAATTGTCTATAAATCATTGAGTGGTCAAGCCCCTAATTACATCAAAGAATTACTTCAACTCAAAGTACAATCACACAGTCGTAGCCTGCGCAGTTCCACAGATAAATTATTGTTTCAGATTCCCCATGGCAAAACTAAAGTAACTCTTGGGAACCGTGCTTTTGCTATTGCTGCCCCCAAACTATGGAATAGCTTGCCAATAGATATACGAAGCACTCCATCTCTCAATGTTTTTAAATCCAATTTAAAAACTTATTTGTTCAACTGAGTGATCTTATTTTGTAGAATTTAGTAAAAAGGAGCTCTTAACCAGCGCAGCTGAATATATTTTGTATAAAAGCCGCGCTATATAAATTTATTATTATTATTATTATTATTATTATTATTATTATTATTATTATTATTATTATTCTTTTCATTACATCAGTCAAAAAATACACAAAATGCTTTAAAATGCAAGAAAAACACAGTATTAGAAATTCGTTTGAAAGAAGTTAATGAATGACCAATCTCATTTGTTGAGTGAACAAATAAAATAGCAACAATAAAGACGGTTAAGAATCCCCATGGTCAGAATTAGATAACAAGTGCAAATACGAACATAATAATCCATATAAATATTATACATACGAAAGCATCTACAATATAATATACAATAAATACATAAATATAAATATATAACATAAAATGAAATCGAAACAAACTTTGATCAACGATTATCATGAATATTGAGTACGGTGGGCCAGAACATGTAAAACTTAATTTTTTTTATTTCAGAAAAATGTGCGTTTATAACTATTTTTTGAAAGAGGAAAGAGTATGAAAAAGATACTAGCCATTACTGAGACATGGCTGACGAATTCGGAGAGGGACTCCCACGCCCTAGCAACGATACGAAGCACTTTGCCTAACTTCGACATATTTCATGTCCCCCGCATCTCTTCCTCCGGCGGTGGTGTTGGAGTATTACTACACAAAGGTTTCAATGTATCCGAAAATGAGAGATCAACATTTCCTTCATTTGAGAAAATTGACTTGTCACTTCGCTCGTCTGTAACGAGTCAGCTGCGGTTAGTTGTGGTCTACAGACCTTTCTACAAGACATATCCTCCCTGATCGAGAGGCTACTGTCAACTAACCAAAGGATATTCCTTGTTGGCGATTTCAACCTACACGTCGACAATATACAGAACCACAGCTCTGCAACTTTCCTCGAAACGCTCGGTGCCTTTGGACTAGTGAATCATGTCACCACACCGACGCATCGAAGTAATCACACCCTCGATCTTCTCATCTCTCGGAAGGATGAAAAGCTTGTATCCAATGTAACGACAGCTGACTCCTTACCTTCAGATCACTCGATCGTTATGTGCTGCCTACAAACAGCACGTCCTGCAGCTATCTACAAGATAACAAGGTCACGATCACTTAAGACCATCAATCTCGATGATATGAGACACGATGTTGAAACCTCCGAGCTCGTCCAAAATCCTTTAGATGGGACAAATGAACTCTCTGCGCAGTTCTATAGAGTTCTTCGTGCGATTCTGGACGACCATGCTCCTGAAAAAGAGAAGAAGGTTATACTCCGACCTCACGCCCCATGGTATTCAGAAGCCCTGCAGAAGATGAAACGGGAGAGACGACGATGTGAACGTAAAATGATAAAGTCTTCCCTCCAAGTAGACAAAGATATTTACCAGACAAAATGCAAGGTCTACAACGAACAGATCAACCAGGCCAAGAATCAGTACATACAGGCAAAGATCTCAGATTGCGATCAGAAAGACCTGTTCCACGTTGTACGTCAACTAACCTCACCAGTACACGCCCACATCCTTCCTCAACACGAATGTTCTGCTCAGCTTGCGAATCGGTTCGCTGACTCCAAGAGAAAATCAACCATCTCCGAGATGACCTGAATCATGCGATTCATAATGACCTATCCGTCGATATCTTAGAGACATATTAATCATCAATGCTAGAATTCGATATCACCACGGAAGATGAGATTCTCACCATTCTAAAGTCCACATCGACATCTTCCTGTGACCTTGACCCTATGCCTGTACCACTTCTGAAGAAGTGCTTATCTGAACTTCTACCTGTGATGACTAAGATTGTCAACGAAAGTCTACAATCTGGGGTTGTTCCTGTTTCACTGAAGCACGCTGTCATGATTCCTAAGCTGAAGAAGCCTGGCCTCTCACCTGAAGAACTTGCAAACTATCGGCCTATTTCTAACATCAGCCACATTAGCAAGGTCATCGAAAAGGTTGCAGTTACCCAGATACAGGAATACCTGACATCACATGACCTGCTTCCTCAGACACAATCGGCATATAGATCTCACCACAGTGTAGAAACGGCCTTACTGCGCATCAACAACGACATCTTGATTGCGTTGGACAAGCACTTGGAAGCCATACTCGTCCAATTAGACTTCACAGCCGCTTTTGACACGATCGATCACCCTCTCCTCCTAGATCGATTGTTCCGTCGTTATGGACTCGCAGGTACTGTCCTCGGCTGGTTCAGATCGTACTTCTCACAACGGAGTCACGTCGTCAAAGTTGGGACCAGTACCTCACGAACTGTCGAGGATACTTGCGGGGTTGCTCAGGGTTCTATCATGGGGCCGCTTACGTTCACCCTATACACCGCACCGAACAACGACATCATTTCATCGCACAAGCTCAGTAGTATGATCTACGCAGACGACACCCAGATTTATGCCATATTCATCCTTCAGAACGTAATGCATTCACCGACAAACTGAACGCGTGCATTAAGGACATTAGAAGTTGGGCTGTTCGAAATCAACTTGCCATAAACGATAAGAAAACAGAGGTTACTCATTTCTCATCAAGATTCCTTAATCGGCCCAATCCCAGCGTTACCCTGATGGTAGGCGACACCAACATAGCGGCATCAGCAGAGGCAAGAAATTTGGGAGTTAGCATTGACCACCAACTTACGATGAAAACCCAAGTTAAGAACATTTGCAGATCTTCCATGGCTGCCATCCGCAAAATCGGACAGATCCGGATGTACCTCGACACTAAAACAACGAAGAAACTCGTCCATGCATTCGTCATTTCACGACTAGACTCATGCAACTCTCTACTCAGTCGCCTCCCAGACTCAGAAATCAACAAACTACAACGCATCCAGAATACCGTAGCCAGAATGATAGAGCAATCCCGACGGTCAGACCACATATCACCCATCCTCCTTCGTCTCCACTGGTTACCTGTAAAAAAACGAATAGACTTCAAAGTTCTACTTCTCACATACAAAATACTCCACGGCAAAGCCTCTTCATATCTATATGAGATAATCCATCCTTATGTTCCTGCCCGCACTCTCCGATCTCAGCAACAAAGTCTCCTACAAGTCCCACGCACCCATACTCAATTCTACGGCGAAAGATCCCTCAGCTACTATGGACCCACTCTATGGAACAACCTCCCCCTCAATATTCGTAACGCCCCGACAGTCGACTCATTCAAATCACTTCTGAAGACATGTATGTTCACCCAATAGTCTGTAATTATATATATGCTAGTTTATTTCAAATAATGTTATTTCCTTACAATAAAAGATCGTAATTATTTAACTATTATAATTGTGTTCATAAGTTTATATCATTTATATTATATCTTATTTTGTCATCATTGCATACGATATGTATTTCTGTTAATTTATGTATAATTAAATCTTTAGATCAATCATGTAATTTATTGTATATTTGATTGTTGTAAAGCGCATAGAGAATTTATTATTATGCGCTATATAAAAATTACTTTATTATTATTATTATTATTATTATTATTATTATTATTATGATTTTGCATTTCTTTTGAGAGAGAATTCCATGTTTTCGGGCCTGAATATCTAAACGATTGCTTGAATAATTCAATATTTGGTTTTGGTAAGACCACATCGAGTGAGTCAGAATTGCGAGTGTTGAAACCATGTCTATCACAGAACATTTCAATTTTATTACAAAGTCTTACGGGAGGATTACCATGTATACATCGGAACATAAGCATATTAATAAAATAATCTCTCCTAGTTTCAGAAGTTTGCCATTTCAAATCTTTAAATAGTTTAGAGACGCTGATATCGCGTGAACCATAATGTTTCGACACTATACGGGAAGCTCTTTTCTGTATGCGACGAATATAATCACGGTATTTAAGTAAACAGTTTCCCCACACTGAGCATGCATAATCAATACATGGTTGAATGGTTGCTTTATATAAAATATTTAGCAGGGACGTGCTTAGTGTGTTACTTAATCTTCGTAATAAGAAAAGATAATATGCAAGGCTTTTACACATTGTTCATGCCAGGTCAAATGACAATCAATATTAACACCTAGTTATCTCGCCGAATCAACCTGTTTTAGTTTGGTGCCATTTAAATATACGTTTAGTTCATTTTGGTTGCAATAAGCTCTCATTTTTTAGAAGTTATGATCAATTGAACACAAAATTGACAACACTGTGATGAATCTTGCGAGGTTCTCTCCTATTTGATTTGCACAAAAATGTCATATACTTTCATTTTCGAAGTTATTGATGACTGAATAGATTTTTTACATACAGAGGGTACATGTATGATTGTAAACTTTCTTCGAGGGAAAATAGAAATTTAAGATTTTTTTCGTACAGAGCAAATGAGAAGGAACCTCGCAAGATATGTCAAAGAGCTGCCACTTTGTGTTCAATTGATCACAACTTCTAAAAAATTGCATAAACTTCATAATTTTAACTTTCACTGACCTGTTCCTCTCATTTTCTGCTTCTATTAAAACCAATTTAATATCAGAGTGGACTTCCTCTTAATTTCTAAAAGCTTGTTCACATACGACTCTGTATTATGTTGGTTTTTGTATATTGACTCAAAGCCCCACTGTCCTACTTGTAGCTACTTGCTCCCTCTATATAGAAAACTTCCCCAATCGGTGCATGTTGGTCCCCCATGATCCTCTTTTTCTTATGTTAGTTGAGAGCTAAGTTAATGAGATAGCCACCTGTCAGTGACCTCGCTGTGTGGTATAATCCCTGCTTGCCCAGTAGTATTGACGTCTCTAAACATTCTGGCCCGTATTCTGAAGTCGTGTCTAACTTTATATAGTCATGAGTAAAGTTAAACAACTGTTTAGTTAGAATACGGGCTAATGTGTTTCATATTTTGTAATACACAGATAGTGATTATTTGTACATTTAGGACCTCTGTTGTATGCAGCTACTTTTTGTAAACCCCTACTTGCCTTTAATGTACATGTACAAGTAAAGAATAAATTTTAAAAGCTGCCACCGTTTTTCACGTCATGTATGAACAAGCCGTTAGTTAGGAAATCCTTGCATTCATATTTTTATTTGCACCTTGTACGGTGATATACTTTTCTCTCGTTTAAAGGTTCACATCAGTGATGCCACCCATGCTAGGATGTATGAAGACGTGAAAGTAGGGGATACCAGAGTGCAGCAGGATACCTACTTCAATGCCACTGATGATCATCTTTATCTCCTCACAGAACAAAAGGTAAATTGGATTAGATTTGATTTGGCATGGTTTATTAATAAATACAGTGCGTCCCAGAAAAAACGAAACCGAGAATTATCGTTTTTGTTATCATAAATTAACCACAATTATAATCAATAAATGACACATATTTGTTATGTTTAGATCCTCCTCTTTCAGTTGATGCAACTCATATGATGCATATTTCACGTATGAGTGTTTAAAAACAATTTAAAGAGATGGTACCAAAAAGACATTTGGCGGGCGGTATCTGAATTTCAAAGAGAAAATCACATTTCTAGAAAGTTACTTTTCTGCCCTTTCGTATGACACCTCAATAGTTATTCCTGGCTCATTTTTTCCTGATTGAGGTATTATATGAAAGGGCAAAAGGGGAACTTTCTAGAAATTTGATTTTCTCATTGAAATTCATATACCGCCTTAAAAATTACTTTCCTCCCTTCAAATTGTTTTTAATCACTCATGCGTGAAATATGCATCATATAAGTTGCATCAAATGAAAGGAGAGGATCTAAGCTTTAACAATATGTGTCATTTGTTAATTATAATTGTGATTAAGTTATGATAAAACATCGATAATTCTCGGTTTCATTTTTCTGGGACGCACTGTATATAAAGATCTCTGCATTTAAAATGGAATTGTGCGATTTTTATTTTTTTTTAAACAAGAAATTAAATACCGGTAGTACTAAAAACACATTTTAATAAAAAGAAATAGTACAATAACAGAAACAGTCAACATACTTTTTAACTGATGTAGATGATATTGGTAGACATGTTAAATGAAGGTCTCGTTTTGTCTACCAAATGATGATGTTCATACACGTACATGTACACTATACAGTGCGTCCCAGAAAAAACGAAACCGAGAATTGTCGATGTTTTATCATAACTTAGTCACATTTATAATCAATAAATGACACATATTTACAAAGCTTAGATTCTCCTTTTTTATTTAATGCACCTCATATGATGCATATTTCAAGCATGAGTAAGTAAAATGAATTTGAAGAGAGGAAACCAAAGAGTAATTTGGCGGACGGTATCTGAATTTCAAAGAGAAAATGTCCAGAAAGCCGAGTTTCTGCCCTTTCATATGACACCTCATTCAGGAAAAATGAGCTAAGAATAACAAAGTTCTGTTTGTTTAAAGTAGTGCTTGCATTTCCATAATTTCAGTTAACGAATTCGTTTTCACTGGCTACCTTCCGTAGCAACAAACGGAATTAAAGCCCCCATGACACCAAACTAGTTCTGACTACGTTCTCGAAAATGTTGCCAAACTGTTTGCAAACGGTGTTGAACGTAATAGCAACTGTTTACGATCTGTTTAAGGACTTCATGGACGGGCTCGGACTGGAATAATGTCTATAATACGATCCTCGTTCGTTCATTAACAGTCCCCAATACGTCCAACTCGTCTGTTCCCGTCCACAGTCAGTTCATATTAAGTTCAGATCGGGTAAATTTGACATTTCCAAGCAGTCAAAACCATTCTTACTAGTTCGCAACTTGTTTTAACTAGTTTATAAATTAACCAGCCCGTTCAGAGACAGTTCAACTCGTCCTCTTCTCGTTCTTAGTGCGTTCAAACGCGCTCCTATCGTGCGTGTGCAATCCCGTCCTGGTTCGAGACTATAAAACCCAGCGCGTTCTTGCTAATTGATGCTTGACCACATCGTGTTGTAACACGTCCCTAGGATGATCGGAGTACGGTAATTCCGTTCGTAGTAAATCAATTATGTTCGTAGTAGGTCCATCTACTTTTAAGTACGTTGTCACTCCGTCTAATTGCAGGACGGGGACAATTTTGAACATTTTGAACAATTTTGAACAATTCTATAACACCCTTCCCGTCCAAGCCAGTCCGAGCCCGTCCATGAAGTTCTTAAAAAGATCATAAATAGTTGCTAATACGTTCACTCCGTTCGCACACATTTCGAACCCGTTTGGCGTTGAACGGGAATGAGGAATGGCGAGAACGCGCTGCGTTTTTATAGCTCCCGAGCTAGGACGGGATTGCACACGCTCTAGAAATGTGATTTTCTCTTTGAAACTCAGATACCGTCCGCCAAATTACTTTTGGTTTCCTCTCTTCAAATTCATTTTACTCAACCATGCGTGAAATATGCATCATATGAGTTGCATCAAATAAAAGAGGAGAATCTAAGCTTTCCAATTATGTGTCATATATTGACTATAAATGTGACTAAGTTATGATAAAACATCGATAATTCTCGGTTTCGTTTTTTCTGGGACGCACTGTATAGCTCCATTTTGTATGTTTTTATTTCGTTATTGGGAATCATCCTGAGCCAATTTTATTTATTGATGTCTTCATTCTGTTTCTTCACTATTTTACAATTCAACATCATCCAATTTAAATCCATAATTGACATGAGGTACATGTACATGTGATTGAAATATATCGATACAGTGACTAAACTTCTTTATCAGTCATTGACCAAGTACTTTCCTTTTTCCCCTTTTGTTTAAAGCTTGTACGTTTGTCTGTGGTAAACTGCAGTCAGTACACAACCTGTTATGAGTGCATTGGTAATGATGGAGGGCAAGATGGGGACCCATACTGTGGATGGTGTACATTGGAAGCAAGGTAGCTATGTTGCTCATTCCATGCTAATTATTTGTCGACCGAATAAGAGTTTTAACATTTTGACATGGTCTTTAATTGTTATAAGGCTTCACATAAAAAAATATGTCAATTGTTCTTTGGGTAATTGTTTTTTTCTTCTTAAATGCCGATGTGAAGTACAGGGGGGGGGGGGGGAATCATTTTCAATACAGGCTGACTATCCACTCCTGACGACGGACAGTCAAACTGTTCGAAACGTCGAGCCACTCGTACCACACACATCCTCTCCAACTGGCGCTATAGTTCCCCTTATAACTATAAGCCAAGAAAGATAACCAACAATCCTTTTCTAGATTACACTAACAGTCTTTTTCAAGATAACGTATGTCTATATTGTGTGGTCCTTATTATATGTTTATATAAAATGAAAAAAATATGAATATTGCAACCTGCAAAGAATATGTTATTGATTTTATTGATTTAAATCTTAGTCGCAATACACAAGCTCTCTTGTTGGTATATTTTTGCAGGTAGGTTTGTAAGAAATTTTGTTGTAACATGAAAGCTATTTGAACAAATTCTCTCAATTACTTCTAAAGGTGCACAAGATATGAGGCATGTCCCTTACGCGATCAATCAACACGATGGTTATCATACAATGCTTTACAGTGTGTATCCATCTCAGATGTCCAGCCGAACCGTCTGCCTTATCATCAGACCCAACAAGAAGTAAATACAGTTATGTTTGAACTTTTTAGATTTCCTTTCCCCTTCTGCATATCCAATGATCAATTTAAAAGTGATTTAAGTATATTTTGCACTGCATGTATTTCAGTTATGAGTGATCTTTACTATCTTATTTGGGACTCTCCCTACAGAGACAGCTGCCATGAATAGTTATAAAAAATATATTACAAATTATTTTATTACTCCTTATTATTAATTTTCATACTAATATCCCAGCCAGGGAATAAAATACAGTAAACAAATGCAACAAAATTAACAATGACATGTGAAACTTCTTGTGCATGTGAGTCTTATCAAGAAATCACACTGTTTTTTTCTTACTTGTAGATCAACATAATAGTCCAACAGCTCCCAGATCTGAGGAGCAGTTTTCGATACATGTGTGCCTTTAACTCTTACGAGGTCTCCGCTACAACTACCGGTAATACCGTCACCTGTACATCCCCTCCTGAAAACGGATTGCCTACTATTCCAGATGGATGTAAGTATATATATGTAAAGATGAAAAGTGAGTCATTTTATATGTACTCGTGCTATGTCTGTGCAAATATAATTACCTTCATAGCATTAAGTGACCATGGATGTGAAATAAAAAATAATTAAATATTATACAAATGATGCATGCGCATGAGTTCATTATACGATCTATCCGCACTCGAGTTGAGGCTGTGTGTATCTATCGCACGAAGCCCTTAGGCTGAGTGCGATAGATACACACAGCATTAACGAGGGCGGATAGATCGTATACTAAACGAATGAAAACATGCATCATTTATTTTATACAACGAAACTCCTAGATCCTTGTTATTTGATGTAAAAAGAATTAATTCTAGATTGTTTCGTGACAGTAAATGGCTGACAAATAAACCTCAGGTTTTAATAAGTCTCAATTTAGTGCGCACACATAAGTATAGATATAGCAAGCGCACTTACCTCTACACCCATTTACGCATAGAGCTGTGCAAGAATAGGCTAGGCCCATGCACACGCAGTATTAAGCGCTCTAACCTCTACGCGCACTACTGCGCGCTCTGAAAACGAGTTCAATAGTACTGTAAAATATTGCACTCCTTTTCATGAAAACGAGTGCAATAGGCTCAGTAATTGAATCACACGTGACCGCGAATGACCAATCATTGATTAGGATCGAGGAGTGAGTTGTATAATTAATATTGTTGAAATACCTGTGGCCGGATATCTTGATTTTTAGAAAATTCTAATAGGCCTACATTTTTGACATGTTGAAATGCCACATTTTTAAACTAATTGAGACCTTTACGAATCCCAAAACCTGATTTAGTTGAATGTTGAGTATATATTTAAAGGTTGGAAAAGCAGTGTCATATTTATTTCAGACTTTATGATATAATGTATATGTAGGACTAATGTAATTACAATGTATTTGTATCATCATCAGGTTACCCTTTAATAATCTGGTTGATTTTCTTCGCCAGCAGTTACCCCTGACCCTATAAAAAAAAAGGATTGTCTTGAGACAAAATGCAGAAAGTAGTTCATCATACTTCACTCATAAATGATATTGTCTGCATTATTAAAATGATTTGTACATTTAACATTTATTTTCATTTGTTTGCTAGTGTACGTTTTGGATTTGCCTCTGTCTATTGTCTCAACTGAAACGAATGTCAAGTTTGTGACCACATATTTCTTCTTCTTTGACTGCAGTCACATTAAATCGTAAGTTATACTTCACCTAGCCAAGTGATACTAGTTATTTGTGTTGGTCTTGGGGTTTTAAATGTGATAACACACACGGGTACACAATGAATAAATAATAATGATAATAATGGTAATAATACAAATAATAATACATTTATAAAGTGCAGCCACTGTACAACATTATTCTGATTAAAGGCTTACATGGTTTTGGCTCAGAAGTTCAAGTTATTTTTCTGAACTCTCTTCCATTCCCTATTATAGATCTCATAGTAAGAATTACAGAAGACTTGTGCTTTGCATGAACTGATTTTGTGTAAAATATTTAGATATACATGTTTATTTACAATATGAAAAAGGCTACATTTATGAGCACGACATTTTTGATTGAGGCTTCACCCATTTTGATAGTTGGTTTATTCCAAATAACCCAATCCAAAATTATATCCAATCAATTCAGCTGCATTGTGTTGCGTTACTACAATAGCCATAATCATATATTTTTATATCCTTTATTAGAGTTCCATCATTAATTATTTATTTATTTATTTATTTCTGATATTTAGACAGGGTGGCACATATCACAATTTTGGTGGTCTTCCATGAGGCCCTGTATGGTAATATAACGATAAACAAATAACAGCAGCAAAAGCAAAATAGATAAATACACAAGCATATACACAGGTAAAACACAAATTAATTGGTATCCTGATGAAATAACTGATCATTCAAGAATTATTCTTGATCATTTACAAGAAATATGGGAATGAAATTGTCAATTCAAGTAGAAAATACATTTAAAAAATGAAAATAAAATAAAGAGTTTTTTATTTTATTGTACTTATAATAATAATCAATCGGAACTTCAGGCGGTATTGTAGAAAGGGTTTGAATTGCATCATAGTGAATAGTCACGTAGCTTTTGTACTAGTTTTAATACCAAAGTAATTTTCAACTTCTTGCAGATGCTCCTCGTGTGTTACAAGTTACTTTCCATGTAACTGGTGTGTTTATGACAACCAGTGTACAGATGATAGCAGCTCATGTCAGACAGGAGATACAGTGGTTATCGGAGAAAATGTAAGCACTACATGCAGGGAAACCAGTTTTCAAGCAAAGCCTGATGTCAGGCCCATGCAAGTGTTTTCATGCCATAGTTCAAAGTTTTCCTAGGCCGGTACAAAATCGCTTATTGCAGATGGTATTCAGACCCTCTCGTAAATTCTGGCTGACATCATAAATAAATGAAATGGTATATACAGATATATCCCCTTAGGAAATTCTGTCTCGTAAATTTTGTCTGACATCATAAATGAATCAAATGGTATTTACAGATATATCCCCTTATGTTTTATGGTCATTCGACCAAAGATTTTTTAGAAAATTTTGCCCAAGAATCCTTCGCTTTTGGGAGGCTTTATGTAAAAAAAAAAATCATATATCAGGAAGCTAAGCTTGAATATACAAACAACTGTTTACGATGCACATGTACATACTGAATGCACAAGTTTAAATTATCAATTGAATTACTGCCCATTTAATACATGTACATGTAATGATAATATTCAACATTTTTATAGCACACATATGCACCAAGCAAGGTGCTCAATGCTACTGACTTCGATGCTCAAATGTTTCCTATGTTTGTCTCTATAGGATCCTGATGGTGCTGGAAACGTAGGACCGGGGTTTTGCCCTCAGCTGCTTGGAACAACGGAATCATTTCTCATACCAGTCAATATTCCTACTGGCTACTCACTATCTGCAAAGAACCTCCCTACAGATCAGTCAAAGGTAATCGTCTTTGTTACCTAAAAGTACGTTGAGAACATTTAAATGCATATATCTTTACAAACATACACGGTCGTTTTTCTCTCAGTTTCCTTCATATTTCCAACGTTTACCACATATATTATAATGAACAAGAAAATATGCATTCCCGACGGAAACCCGACTTTATTCTGTGTGTTTGGCACATAAATATTACACCCATGAGTGCAGGTGCTGATTGGAGCGGATAGCCTAACATATCTTTGAAAATCATGACTTTTTGTATATTCCCAGGGGCTATTATCATATGAGTGCATCCTTGACATTGAAGGAGAAGAAGTGAGAGTACCCAGTACCACGTTTAATGAAACCTACATTCTCTGCAATGATAAACAGGTAAAAAAAAAAAAAGGACGTTATACTCTGCATTTTCTGAGGGTCCTATAACCTACACTTTTGCACTCAATAGTAATATAATGTACTTACTTTTCTTGGATACTGTACGTAACGAGTTTTTAAACATGATCAATACCTGTCTGATCTATATCAAATTTCCACTCATGTTGTCCAAAATGTTATTTTTTCTCCCAGGACATTAATGTGTGAAGGTTTCATTTCTTTTGAAAGGTGGCAGAAAATCATCCGTTCACCAGAAAATGTTTAAAATAACTTCATCTTGATCTTACTGGATATATTGACAGTAAATCAAGAATGTTATTTGCGCACAATGAACATAATGTTAGACCCGAAGAATTTTTGTTGAAATATTTCTGAATCTCCAAGATCCCTTAAATATCTGAAAGCCATACTTATGAACAAGGGATCTGAAAAATGTTTTTGCAAGTTTTATTAGCAGGTTTGCAGAGTTGTCTGTTTTCCCGAACCACATTTGATGCTGTCCCTTTTCAAAACTTTGTATTTTTTTTATTTGTTTTCAGTACACGTACAAAGAGAATATCATCCAGAAGATTGTCAGTGTCTCTGTACAATGGGAACAGAACAGGATACATGACCTGTCAGAACCATATGGTAAGCTGTGTATAAACACGCAAAGTCTACAATATGAAAAGCATAATAATTAAATATTCAACGTAAGAATAAGCCGTGGAATATTGTTGAAGTCTCTTGACCGTCATCGGACATGAAATCAACAAAGTAATACATCGCAATTTTATTTTGATTTAAACAACTTGAAAATAAAGAAATTCATAAATACATTGATTGATACTTGTACTCCTTTTTCATCCTCTGAATTGCAGTCACCCTTTATAAGTGTTCAGTTAGCAGTGGAAGTTGCAGTCAATGCCTTTCCCAAGAAGCAACACCATCCATCTTGAAGTGTGGTTGGTGTGGTGATGACTGCAATGTCATCCAAAGTGATGTTTGTCAGAGCAACCAGTTTCTCCATCAGAATGAGACGCAATTATGTTCAGCACCAGTTATCACTGATGTAAGAGAATATTTGTTCAAACAGAATATAAATCCGTACTATTGAGTATTTCAGATATGCGACGGTAAACAGCAGTGGTCCTTTTTGATGGTGCAAGTGTTTTAAGAACGTTTCACATTTGTCCATCTTCTAACACATGCAGAGCTAATTAAGGGAAAATTCGTATGACTTTTGCTGCGCGAAGTTGTTATCCATACACGTTTAAAAGTGGTATGGCTAACCGCGGGTTAATTCAGTTAAAAAAAACTTACATTTGACAATGGAGTCATATATGTATATTTGGTACTGATTATTCGTAATATAAATGAACCCGCGCATAAGGAAACATATACACTGTTGGTCATAATCATAAATGGTGGAATAATTATTTTTACCCCAATTTATTGAATGATTTTGATAATGATCATTCTCAGATTTTATTGAATGACAATTGGGGAGTGTTTGTTTTGCGTGACTGCTAAAGCATGTGTGTGCTACAATGCTAATCAACTAGAGGACCTACGTCCTTAAGTCATAACTGACAGTAATGGGGATTAATACCTCATAAAAGGGCACGAATATAGCACATCGACACGGTTTTTATCAGTACATTATGGTTCAAGGCATGCCCACATAGCAGATTTTTTTTATGTTGGGGGTCGGGGCAAAATGCAATGAATTATAGAAAATTTATTGCATTTTCTTTGTTTTTTTGTTTTTGTGGGGGCGTCGACGTACCCTAGCGCCCGCTGCGTACAGTCATGATTCATTGGCTAAGCAATGGCCTCGTTACTGTGAGCCCCCAGGATCAAAACCGTGTCGATGTGCTATATTAGTGCCCTTTTATGAGGTATTAATCCCCATTACTGTCAGTTATGACTTAAGGACGTAGGTCCCCTAGTTGATTAGCATTATAGCACACACATGCTTTAGCAATCACGAAAAACAAACACTCCCCAATTGTCATTCAATAAAATCTGAGAATGTATACTATTATCTAGATCTGTTAGGAATAAATCATTATCAAAATCATTCAATAAATTGGGGAAAAAATACAACAGTGTATTTGACACACAAGTACAACCAAATACACAATTCTAACACTTTCGAATTATTATTTCTATTGGTACTGAAAGACTTAATTAGTATGATATAAAGAGATGCCATAAGATCAATTTTTCATTTGTTTTTTCTTTTCCTGAAGTTTGACCCCTTGTCAGTTACTACCAATGGCCGTACAAGATTAGAAATCAATGGAACCGACATTGGAGTGGTTTTTGATGATATACTTCAAATTCTTATTCAAGACTTGCAGTGTGATTTGACAGGCATGGGCGAATATTACCAGCCAGGACAGAGGTATATCTGAAATGTAATTTATTTCTTACAAACATGTATGCATATTACTGTTTTATCACAAAGTAAAGTTAAATATCTTACTAAGTACATTAAGATCATCCCACTTTGATGCTTATCCTGATGACTGATAAGAACTGAAAACAAATTTATTATTCACATAATGTTAAAAAAATAAAAGGCTCGTGAAAAAGTGCCAAACAAAAGTCTTTTTGTGATACATTACAACCTTCAAAGTATTTGTTTTCTTCAAAACATTCAAGCAAACTTAGTTTTTTGGGTGAATGCAATCTAAAAGAACAATGGGGTCAATGAGATCAACTAATAATAACAATGATAATAATAATAATAATAATGATAATATTGAAAATGATAATAATAATAGCTCTCTTTTTCTCCAGAGTAGCCTCATATCAATATATATTATGTTATCCTTGAGGGCCCTGCAATTACATTATTACCCCTGATTCTCAATAATCAACGTGACAGGTACCAAACGACTTCTGCAAACTTGTAATGGAAATCTTTCGTTGATCTGGCAGACGTTTATCCTGTGTGATACCATATATGATTTTACACTGAAATCAGTTGTAAATATCAAGATGATAAATAATAGTTTGAGGTTTAAAAGAAGAAAAAAAAGGGAACTTTATTTCCACACAGTCAGATTTTACTTTCCACATTGCTGTTTCATCATGCAAGTATATGTGTACTCACATGTCCATCGTTATTGTTATTGTTATTTACAGTGTTAGTTGTACAACAGACATATCTCATGAAGTTATATCAGGACGCATTAAAATCACAGTGGCGTCAGGTAACGGAATTAAGACAGGGCAGAGCACTACCAAATTTCAGTATAGGGTGAGTACAGCAAAATATACATTCTGAATAAAATATATCTTTCTATTTTATGGTAAATGTTGCAAAGACTTTGTAATTATTGATATTTATTATTAAAGCTGAGTAACAATGAAGGAATAATTAAGTAAGCAATTGAAAAGTCATTTATACATAATAGAAAATAAATATATGCAGGAAAATTGCAAGAAAAATTTAAGTACTGATACCGCATGTTTAGTGTATTTTATAGGAGGGGATTTAAAGAATTAAAAAGAAAAGTTTCTATGATAGGTTTGAAAATGAAACATTAATAGTATTTTTTAATTTGCATTTGGTTGAAAACCTAAACTTTTCTTGTTATGTTATGATATTTTGTCACTTTTGTTTAGGATCCTATGATTACAGGTTTTAATCCTAGAGAAGGACCCGTGGCAGGGGGTACAGAAGTCACTATCAGTGGCATGTACTTGGACACTGGAAGGAACATTGCTGCAAGATTCAGAGATGCAGATTGCGTAGAGATGTAAGTAATGTGTATTGCATTCAATGCTTGGTTATTCTGTAAAGTTTATCAAAGCCACAATTTTTGCATAAATATTTCCTGTTTAAACTTTAATTGTTATTTATAAGTAATGGAACTGGAAAGATTTTGTATAGTTAATGGCCTTGAGAAATACGTCAATGTACACATTTGTTCATTGACTATAAAAAAGTAGAACTATTTTTAATGAATATGTAGACAATCACAACCATTATAGAAAATCCCCATAAATTCAAACAAATGTCTTTTTAAAAGTAGGATCTACTAGTACCTCAATATTGTAATTGTTTTGATTATAATGCTGTAAACTTGTAATATGAAGACCTGTGTTATCAAGCCTTTGTATTATCAATCATGTTGTACTATTATTTGTATCACATGCTTTGTTTAATTGATTTTAAATGGTTGAATAAAAAGTGAAGTAAAGTGAATAAATATGGAGAGAGGAAAAGAAAGACGGACAGATAAACGGGCAGAAAGACAGAGATTGAGAGAATGGAAGTACATGCACAAAGTAAGTCGATCGTATTTGATATTTTTTCAGTTCTGTTCAAGACACCATTGCCACTTGCATCACAAGCAGTGTACGAGGAAATGAACTCGTCACTGTACCCCTGGCCATGACATTTGATGGAGAAGAAAGACAATTCAGCGATTACGCCTTTAACTACATGCCGAATCCCAGGATTGATGACATTGACAAGACATCATCTATCATGTCGTTAGTATAATTGAATATAAATTTATTATTTTCATCCTTAATTGTCATTCATTCACTTGTTTAAAGAGAATCACCGTGAAAATCACCATGGTTGACTCAGTCATAATAAGCCTTTATTAAATTACTTTATTGCAGAAAGTTGACTCAAATAGAAACACATACTTGTCAGTTTCAGAAAATACAGACAGAGGATTTGGAACTTCTAGTGTGTTTGAAAGTGGATATAACAAGTGGTGTAAAAATCGCCATATGAAATGCAGTTAATATGTGTGATCTTATGCATATACATTTCTGCCTTTGTGATGAATAAGCAATTATTAGAAATGTCCCTGTTCATATTTTGTTAATGGAATATATCTTGTATACAATAAAAAAAAAACAATATGGTTTACAGGATTTGATACGTTTCTGTTCCACCGAACAAATTGAAGAGAGGGATTACATCGAGTAATTTACAAAACTTTTTTTTCTTTTACAATTGACCTCTTGTTATTATTTAAAGACTTCCCCGTTTGTAATGTCAACATATGACAGTTTTCTCATTTGTAGGTGTTATTCAACGCTTTCCTTGAATGTATTTTTATTTCAACAGAGGAGGTCTCGATATTACACTAACAGGCGTTAGATTTGATCTGATCCAAGAACCCAGGATTGTTGTTACTTCTCTCACAACTAATGCTACCACCTCTGGGGTAAGATATCCATTCACTTTATTTATTCAATCTTATTGAAGGGTATCAATCATTTAACAACAAAAAATTGTTTGCTTTGTGTGTAGGGATTTCATCCCTTTATACTGTATTGAAAAATACGAGCTTAAAATATTACTTCTACAAAGATATGTGGCAAGTTTGCATACACTCATTAAACAAAGCGGCAACTTGTGAGAAGATTATTTGATGCACCCGTACATGCTATCATAGTACAAGTGTATTGTATAAGACGCACTAGTCCTTGTTCAGAGTATTATGTTACCCTTATTCTTTCACACCCCTCGATTATTTAATAGCTCATAGAATGATTGATTAGGTTTATTGTTTTTATTTTTTAAGTTGATAGAAGACATTTTTAGCTATACCCAAACTTGTTTAGGCTATTGCTACACGAAGAGATGTCTGTTGACTGTAGATGACTGATGGTTTTGCTACTTCTCAGGCATAACCAGTATTGTATTAAGTACTGTTAGATAAATATATTTGACACAGTACTGCTTTGCATACTTTGTATTTGCTTGTGCAAGTACATGCGAGTTGTCAGTTTTATGATACACATAATTATATGAAATGTTCTAGCATATATATACACATTCGCAAGGTCTTGAAATTGTTTATCTACAGGTTTATTCCAAACTTTTCTCTTTGAAATCACATTTGGCTGTGTTCATAAATTATAAGACCTTTATTACTGCATTGGTACATTCAAGAATGTGCTCAAAGTGCAATTATGTGTAATGGAAATTTATTTTGTAATCCTCTTTTTTTGTCATTTCTTTTCTTGTTCGTTATAAATGCCTTGACATTTATGTCCTAAAGCTCTGCAATGGAACAGAAACCATTCTCACATGTCCAACGCCAAGTTTTCCTGATGCTGATATCTCTTCTAGAGGAAGACGAGCAGCAGATGGTGCAATGATAGCAAAACTGACCTTTGACTTTGATGGATATGTGATTGATGGCGGCACTATTGATTACTTCCCAGACCCTGTGTATGAAAACTTCAGTGGGAACAGCAGAATTTATAAGAGTGATAACAAAAGACTTGAGATTACTGTGAGTCATAGGAGTTTTCTTTATGAGATCTATTATCTAAGTTAGACAATATGCTCAGGATTGTATGTAAGTACCTAGCGGGTACCTAGCTGTACAAAACATGCCATCTTTGTTTAAAATATCAATTTACTGCAATCATTTAATCAACAAAACAAAAAAGAATTGCAACAAGCTATCACCGATTTGTATGTCACTTATTGTGTAGTCCCATATACACATTCTGTGTGCATTGCTTGTTACTTTACCAAGACTGGGCGAAATGCCCTATCATTTTGATAACTCAGAACCTTGCAGTACACACCAATACTTATATGCTACATGATCAACTTTTTTGATCAATTCTACATCGTTTCTTTCACAAATCAACCGCATGACCAGAACTCAAATTTATCTTGAATTGGTCATTCATATCAAATATCGCAGGTATGCCCGCGAATGGAACACGTGAAAAAGCGGCAAAAGTCAAATTTGTTGTTTTGTGTCTTTCCAGGGAATGGATTTAACCTTGGCAAGTACAGAAGACGATGTACTAGTTTTGTTAGGACCTGATGGACAATGCTATGTTGATGGTCTTAACATTAATGTCCTGCGTTGCCAGCTACCAGATGACCAGCCTCAAGCAGGATACTTGAATGGAACACTAGGTCGAGAAGGTGCAAAGAATCTTCCAGCTGTAACAGTTAGTATACACGTATCTTATATAACAGCATTTATCCTTTTCGTTTATTTTAACATTACACAGTTATTTTACATGTCTTCCATGGTGCTGCTTTAATACGAAGTTGTACACATATAACGATTACCTATCACATACATGCAATCGCTATTGTAGCTTTTTTTGATATAAATTTAATAACTAAACTATTCAGACCCTTTCAAAGTTTTGCATTTTGTATGTATTCGAAATAGAATTTGTCACGATTTATGTATCTTGAGAATGTGAAATATTAGTGATCACATCTAAAAGTATTCAACAAAAGCCCTAATTTATCCAGCCCACTCTATAGTTTGGATTTACGATAAGTACATCCACAAGAATTAACATCAAATTTCCAAGTACATATATCATGAATAATTCGGTCGTTGACTATATACATTTACTAAATTTCTTTCATTTTATATACGCTACTATAGCAGGGAAAGCACTGTAGACGAGTGTAGATTTATTTTTCTCATTTCCATCCCCTTCGGAAACGGGCATTTCGTGAACCTCGGTCGACAAATTATTGAAAATGCTCATTTAGTATTAATCAACACATACAGTGCTGTAAAAACTAGTGAATCATTTTTTAGTTTAAAAGGCGTATATCAGCGCCCCGTTGCATAAAACTTACCACTGATGGTAACTTTGCTATCAATGGCACCTACTATGGTAAAAGGGTAGTTCCAATTGATGGCACGGTTACCATCAATGGTACGTTTTATGCAACGGGGCCCTGGCGTTTGTGTTATCGAAGGGGATATGAAGAAGGATGATTGTGCATGTCATTGTAAACCTACACCCTAACTCACACCCTAACCCACACAATAACATAATATTAAATTGACTCTGTTGTCTTTTTAGGTTGTGCATGGGAACTTACGATTTTACCCAGGCTTCGTTTCAGCATGGTCGGCTACAGGTGACAGTCCAGTATTAGCCATCATAATATCTAGTGTGGTGGGACTCATTGTGATCATCACTCTGATAATCATTCTGGTTTGGTGGTCAAGGAAGGAACAGCGTTACTTACAACGAGCTAGGGAAGAAGTAGAAATGGTCCGTAGTGACTTCATGAAGAGAGTACGAGAAGGTATGTCTAACAAAAGGTAAAAACAGAGTTTTGTAGATACAATGCATGTAAGAGGGTATGTGTGCGCATGTAGTGTGCGAGTAGTTATAGAGGCGCCTCTATGTGCTCCCCTTTTTAAAACAAATTGGTGATGCTTATGTACCCTTTTTTAAATTCTTTATATATATGTTACTCGAAATTGTTTTCATGTTCAACACTGTGATGTTTTTTAAAATAAATATATAGTATAGGGAATGCGTATTAATTACAGTACATTATCTTACCTGTTTGCGTTTAGTTGGTAACACGAGCTTAGATGTATCCGAAGCTGACGACAGGACACAGAAGCACGGCGTACCATTTAGAGGACACGTCCACTGTATGACAATGATGTTGTTTAAAGGACTCGGTGTTCACCCAGAAACAACGGACCCTGAGGTAATACTAATAACGATAATATCAGGATATACATGTGGTAATAAAATGTTTCAGATAATTGAATAATTATTCTGAAAAGTCTACATCATGTTGTTAATAACATGAAATAACTGTTGCATCTGAACCTTTCAAACTACGAATTCTCAATAAAATATGAACATGATTGGATAATAAGACAGCACAAGTTGGAAACAAATGTGTTTTGTTTTTCACGATTAATCACATTTCGACTAGGGTTTTTTTTTTTTTTTTTTTTTACATTTGGGTACACTCATTGGTACGATGACGAAAAGCATATAATTGGTTTGCATGGAAATCTTTCTTGATTATAGCTTTTGCTGTTGTGCACCATCAAGACATTATGCCTGTCCTAAAATATTTCCTTGCAGTACATGGAAGACTTTATGGAACACTCGGTGGTATCATTCTACCGTATGCTAAAGAAGAAGGAAGTTTTGATAGACTTCATCAGACAACTAGAGAGGAAGAAAGAAGGTCGCGGTCGTGAAAGGTATTTTAAAGGACTTTCAACCCCCAAACAAATTAATACCGTTATTTGAATCGACATCATTTGGTCAAAATGTAATACAAAAATAACTATGATTTATGGTAATGATACTACTATACATACATATTCACCACGCAAGGTGCTGAAGCAGCTCATAGTATAAAAGGAAATCATTGCTACCGTTACCCATATAACACCTGGGTAGAGAAGGGCAAATGCAGAGTGTTTACTTGCCAAAGGACTATTATTAACTGATTATGAAATTACTTATAAATGGTTATGTAGTTTGTACACTCATCCTGCTGCAAAAACTCGTGACGTAGAAAATATGTATTACATATATGCCACGAGGCAAACTTACTATGGCTTTCATTTTCCACCTCTTAGGGAAATCATCGCCTCTCTTTTGGCAATCACATTTGTCAGCGAGGGGAAATCGATCCACTTCACAGAGTAAGTCAGAAGTTATATATTCCAAAGTACATACATACATACCCACATACAGACATACATACATACTTACATGACTCAAGCCCACACGGTCATGTATAGTACCCCCCAACGCCCGCATCCCGGTGACTACGCCAGCCATTCCCCACTCCTGACGACGGATAGTCAACCTGTTCGAAACGTCGAGCCACTCCCGCCTAAATATATATATACTCTTTTTTCACTGCAGCTCAAAGATAAAGTGCGATTATTCGTTTTACTCATCATATAGGGATGCTCTTTCGTTGGATTCATTTAAATCCTCCCTAAACAAAATTCCTCTTAAATATCCCTGTTAGTCCGTAGCTTTCAATGTCATACTGTTTCGTTGGATTCATTTAAATCCTCCCTAAACAAAATTCCTCTTAAATATCCCTGTTAGTCCGTAGCTTTCAATGTCATACTGTTGTTATTCACGGTACATGTAATGTAATTTCCTTAATTTGACTTTATGTTTTGGCCTAAAATCAAATTGTATTCTGTTTTATTTTAATGTATTGACTGGATGTACATGTGCTTCTGTAAGTTAAACTTAAGTAGGTTGATTAGTATGTATCAATTGTAGCTTGTTGATATGATATTAAATGTACTATTATCTAAGAATCGCCATTATTTTTGAAAAGCGCTAAGAAACATATTGTATCAAGCGCTCTAGAAATACAATGTATTCTTATTATATATTGTCTGTACAAAATTCAGTGCCGATAATTTTGATGCTTGTCAAACATCACACATGTTATAATGCACAATTATATAATTATGAAGAAGTGAAATAACTTACGAGGCGAAGAACCGGCATGGGGCTGAATGGTACAAAATACATGCAGGTTCTTGGAACAGAATGGAGGTAGGACATAATAGGGCAGAGAGGGCAAGGTGTTGCGGGGCAGAGCGTAGACCTGGTATTGCCTAGGATATAACTAACTGGATCTGACATAGGAAAAATGGGATAACCGGTTGATGCAATTAGTTTTGTTTTTTTCATTTCCCAGGCAACCTGGGCATGTACGATCAACATCCATTAATCCTTTTCTTTATGGTGTTCTATGTTCTTGAAATTTATGTTGTATGTTGAAATACCGAATAAAGTAATTATAATAATAAGTATGATGTAAAACATTCGACCACAGGTGGTAATTTCTTTCCATGAATCGAAAGAAAAGATCAACGTGCACTAGAATTTTTCAGAGTATACCACTACTCCATGTTAAAGATAAATGTATACATATATAATTATATAAATACTCTCGGGGAGAGTCAGATTATCCAAAGGAATTTTTGAAGGCTTAAATGAACTCAATTTGCCTTTTCTTTAATGTTAGTAATACTATTATATACATACTATAATTAATTAAATTAAAAGCATTTGGGCAAATATGAAAGCTATTTATTGTTATACACACCTGCATTCATTAATCGAGATTAAAGTATGACCTTTTGGCACTTCTTTCATTTCATTTCCTTTTCAGCGTCGTAATGTCACTTGTTGAAGATGAAGTCAGAATGGCATCCGAATCTAGTAGAGAGATGGACACACTATTCACCAAGTAACGTTTAAATTCATCTCTATTATCCCTTTTTAGAGTTAGCACTTGTTCTTTGTGGTCCTTAATACGTCTCATAACAAAAATCTACAAAAAACTACATTCCCGACTTTTCACAATATTGAACAGGATATTTGCGTACTAGGCTTGTCATGAGGGCTGTGAGCCAGATTGCACATTCCATTACTTGCACAGGATTGATAGGCTTACTTTTGTGGACTGAATTTAGAAAGTGGCGGTAATTGTGCGCGCATACACCTTGATAACATTAATTTTTGTTACCAAATGGTACACTAATATATATAATGAATTGTTATGTTTCCTCACATTCAAATCCCATATTCGTCCGAAATGTTGCCACCGAAAATCATATTGCACATATGTAAATTTCAGTCGAAAAAGTACATCTTTAATAAACTTGTATATAATATTCTCATAATTTTGTATCATGTGTTCAGCACGGAAACAATCGCAGGAAAACTGGTCAGCAGCTGGTTTACCTTGTTCATGCTCACTTACTTGAAGGTAATAATTCAAATTCAAATTCAAACTTTGTTGATTTCAATCCAAACATTCTAATTTTTGTATACATGAAACTAAGATGTTCCTACGATTTCTCGGAATTTGTTTAATGATATGGGAGGAATTTGTATTAGTGTTGTAAGTTCAATCCTAGTCTAGCTTCATCCTAATCTTGGACAAGATCCTGTACACAGTAGCGTACGCACAGAGTTTTCTGAGGGGGGGGGGGTTAAAATTTGAAAATTGCGCCGAGAATTTCGCAACGACTCAGCCATCCGCTAAATAAGCGGGGGGGGGGGGGGGGTTATTAAAATATATATATATATATATATATATAATTTAAAAAAATTGAGGGGGGTTCGACCCCCGTACCCTCCCCCCCCCCCCCCCCCCCCTGCGTACGCGCCTGCCTGTACAAGTATCCTGGCCGTATTTTTTTACATACGACTATACTATCTTCTTCCCATGAAGGGCTTTCATAATATATTCATAATTTCTAAGTAAAATTTAAATGCTTTTTTTAATAACGTAATATACGCGTATTTAATTCAGTTCAAGTCTATAATAATTTTATTTTGGCAATGCCTTGCATCCAGAGGCTGAATTACGCATCGTTAACAATGTCTCAATACATGTATATAATTGTTTGCTATACTATAGACGTACGCCTTCTACCCACTGTACATGTTGTATCAAGCAATAAAGACCCAGGCCGAGAAGGGTCCTATAGACGAAGGGTCAGGAGAAGCATACTATACGCTAGAGTACAACAAACTATTTGACCAGACGGTCGAATTTCATTCTCTCGTAAGTACAAGTAATGTCCGGTTATGTCTTGAAATTTTATATTTGCATTCTAATAAAAAAAGCTATGATTATGTCAAATCGTTTTACCACTATACTGAACGGTTTAGGCAAAGCAAACTCAAGTGTGTGTGATTTCTATTTCAGTGTCTTGTTATATTTGTGTTCACATTTGAAAACTTTCCTGAACGTAAACCCCATGCGCATAAGTATAAGCTTATAATTGAATATACAGGTACATGTATATATATATATATATATATATATACGTATATATATATATGTATATATATACAATTAGAATGAGGGTAAATAATATGTTTTCAGTACACTACACATATCTTTAACACAATCTCTGAGACCTTCTAGAAACCAACTCAAGGGCAATTTCGATACATTTCTGTGTATCTCATAGAAATAATGTTTGGATTACGTAACACATCATTGTAAAGTTCGCATATTTTGGGCATGGAAAGTAAAATTGCCTTAGATTGAGTTTTCGACAGTGTTTGCAATTTTATTCTTTGTATCATTTCTCTCATCCATTGAATAACCATTTTGTTTAATAAAGGGTCTGGATGTTGTAGATGAAGACGGTCAGGTTTATCTTCATGTGAATGTCCTGGATGTTGACAGCGTCAAACAGGTCAAAAAGAAAGTTCTAGATTGTGCGTGGAGAAGGGGCTACTGTTTGCAACCCAGAGACGTGGATGCAGTAGACCTGGGTGAGAATATAATGGATATTATATCCCGCATAATAAGAATCTTACTATCTGATTGGTCTAAACAAGGTCACATGATCAATGATAGATAAGTACTTTATCCCTGCGATAGGACTTTTGTACAGTAATTTGTTGCTGCTGCCCCACTTGCCCATTGAATAAAGCATGGCAAAGTAGGTTACGCGAAATGTCAATGCCAATGTCAATGTCAAATGAGCACGCATCGACTGTATTACATGTATGCATGTTGTGCTTTGTAAAATTTAGCTGAAGCTAAACTGTCTGCAGAATCAGTTCTTTTAATTATGTAAAATTCACTTTAAATAGACCTTATTGCCGATGTGGGATATAAAACAAATATTAACCTCCTTTACTCGGGCAATGGATACAAACTATCATCGCCTCGGTGATAGTTTGTACCATTACCCTCGTAGTCGATTAATATTTGCTTATCATCTCAAGAAGAGGGCCACATAAGTGTTTTGTGTTACCTTCGAATTTAATACATACACACACCCTTACCTTCATAGATACGTAAACGCATGATGTTCTCCTCGTATGAGCTAATACTAACACAGCATTTTCAATCACGTTTGTGAAATCATGGAGAACTACAATCGGGTGGAATTTAAAGGCTCTATCACCATTTCGTCGCAGCCACTGGCTGAATTGAGAAAGATCGTATACAACAATGATAATAACATGCAAATAATTAAAACACATGTACTTTAATATGTTCATAAACATTAATATTATATATATTCCATTTAATGAATTATATTACATGTAAACTTTATACTATCACTTCCATAATTATGTATAGATTTTATTCTGAGTTATTCTTGAATCTTCTCACCATTGCACAGTGTTTGTTCAAACTCATAAACAATCAATTCTGCTTCATGAGACGTCTGAGACTCAGGGAAAAGTAACGGCGAATACAATGAATACCTACGAGGTAAGTTAATGTTCATTAACATTGTTTCTGACGGTTCGATACTTTTAATTATACAAATTCGGATAGAATATCTAGATATTTACGTACTGACGATACATGTATAAGATACATGTATAAGATAAACGTGAAGGTGTAAACAAAAAAGTGTACCCCTTTTCGCAATATAAGTTTAAAATATATTATTGAAGAACTCGTTTTTAGTTAGATGAAGGCGATTATTCTTGTACCGATATACTGGAACATAACTGTGCAGATGGATGCATATACCTCTACATAATTTTTAAATAAGCATACTTCATTGTATTATTCCGTTTTGTGACTTTCATGCTTTAAGATTCAAAATGGATATCGTGTGGCACTGATACCGAAGCAGCATGGAGAAGGTGATGGGTATCAAGCTCTAGATCTGAAGGAGGTTGCTTCAGACACGTGTAAGAATCGTTGGTTTATTTGGAAGATGCATATCTCAAATATCTGTAATCTAAAAAAAATCATGTTGAAAAGGAAAATAGTTTTGACATCCAATAATCATTTTCATTTTCTTTAAAATTTGATTATCTTTCATTTTTTCTTAATTTATTCTTATTTAGTGTTTATAATTATGAAAATGAAACAGTAATAAATGAATTAAAGACAGCTAATTCGTGACTATATGGAAAGAGAGAGAAAGGAGAGAAAATAACAGGGAAGAGAGTAATATTATGATTTTCATCCATATTTAGATGCATCCTTAATGTACGTGACCGATGAAGATGTCCTCGATTCGGACCTACCGCAACAAGGTTCAAAGATCATTCACCTGAAGGTATGATACTTTCCGTTGATCGATGAATACCATGTTAATACAACCATTAAAGAAGATTTTTGCTAGCTTTGTTCCTTATAACTAACCTTTACTCTGATGAATAAACAGGAATAGCTTAACATCTTTTACAGACCCGAGAAGGTAATTGTCATTATTTTACTATATGTCTCAAAATTAAAAAAAATCATACCTTGAACAGGATCGAAATGTACTCATACTATGGAACAGAGAATTCATAAATTTGATAATAATCACCCTTATATATAACATTGTCTAACGATTTTCAACAATGATTTTCTATAGATAGACAAGAATAACAGCTTATGAAAATCAACCCAAGGAGAATATCACTGTCCTATTTGTATATCCCAGTTATCTACGGTTTACAAAAGGTCCCCTTGTAATGTTCGCAAATGTTAAACTGTTGATGCACAAGGCTTTAGAAATTGCCTCAGTTTGATTTATTGGAAGTCTTTGCGATCGAGTAATCGTATTGATAGGTCCGCTTATAAGTAGGTCTAAAATGAATAATGAGAGAAAGAGAGAGAGCGATTCAAACTAAATGCATACACGCGTATTTTTGTACAGGATCTTGAACAATCTAAGATGAAGGGAAGTATTATGCCCATCCACATCCACCAGAAGAGTGCAGACATTGATCGAAATCTAGTATTTCCTCAAATGCTGACAATGAAAGTGAGTCGTGATGTCAATACAGAGATATCCTCGACATTATACAAATAATACACAGCAGTGACGGCATTAGTAAGAATTACCCACACAAGGTACCTTTCGAACTGTGTAACCTCGAGTGTGTTTGGACTGTTTTGAAGATACCGAGTGTGGTTAATTTTATTTATGCCCGAACAAAATAGTGTGTATTATTTGTTTTATAAGATGATCTTTTATATGTTTCATAAAATGATGTTTTACTTCTTTTAAAAACTGATGTTTTATAACATGATTGTACTAATGACCAGTCATTAAAATTTGCTAATGACCGGTCATTAGTAAAACTACGTGTTAGGCAAAATAAATGCCTGGTCACATGTACGCTCTCAATCAATCATATGATTAGGATCCGCTTCATCATGTTATAATATAATTTATTACAGTATTCCATTCTTACTCATAAGTATGATTAGACAGATGTAGCTGATCGTCTTAACCATCCTTATAACGTTGGAAAGCTTTTTGTAGTTTTACCCTTTGGTAATTTATTCAAATGTTAACTTTTCGTCAGATTTTTTTTGATGCACAGACTAACAAGAAACAAAAGTCCTCTTGCCTTATCTTAGTTTAACAGCAGGCTAGCAGATTCATAAAGTACAATTCCATCTGGGTTTGAGATTTGTATAGAACCTCAACGTGGTGTTTATGTTCCGATGCACCTGATCACCAGTTTCAGATGGTATTTATTTTATCCACATGGGTTAATATACGCTGATTAAGCTCTATCTCTTTCACATTTAAGGCGTCGATCAGCCCATATGTGGATGGTATCTTCGAAGTAATGTTCAAGATGCCAGCAAAGGTACCTCTACCAATCAAACATCTCTTTGATACGTTTGATGAACTTGCTGTGAAGTATGGAGAAGCCTACGCGAAAGATTGGAAGAAAAATTGGTGAGTAGGGTTGATGTAATTCTAAGGTATAAATTTGACGTACTAATAAAAAGTATTTGAATTGTGATATGTGTCGCTCAATTTCGTTGTTTAACAAAATCTACTTTTTGATATTTACTATATCATGACTACTACAATACTAAGGTCGTGATTTTGTAAATCATACCCACTAAATTGTGTATAATATATCGATCGTGTTACAATGACAGTACCTCTGTGTATTACCTTTGTGTCATTTATAAGAGATAAATGTTTAGAACACAACACCAAACATACGTTTCCAGCAACCCAACGAAAGGATGCATAGCAATTTTCTGAGCCTCAAAAGGTGCAGAATTGCACTTTGAATAAGATGGGCGAAACATTGAGCCTTGAGAGGGGCAAATGTGCACTTCGAAGATGTTGAAGGTGAAAATAGAACCTGAAAGAGAAGCATATCTGCACCTCGAAGGATGCTAGATGTAAATGATGAAAGAGCTTAACCAAACAAAATTAGAATTTTCCATGGTGTAGGATGCAAATGTTACCCTTTATTGATTCGTGTAGGTAGATATTGTATGTTAAGATCTTGTTTTTAATTTCACGTATCCTTTGTAAATTTCTCCTTCCATAGCTTGTCAAATTTCTGGCTCTCAGTGCTCACCAACCTGCCATCGTTGTTTGAGATGCCGAGATCAGAAACAGCTGATAGATGTGTAAACATTCTTGCTGATGCTCTCAAGCATGCAACCAAGACCATTTCCCTGAGACAGGTGACAATCAATGTTTTCATTAACTATATCACAATATAGCGTAACAACACAAGATTCATCCCCAGTAGTGCCTTCTTTTTCATTCCACAGTCACCTTTGATTACTACAAAGGAATTAAGACGGTCAAATGAGAAAGGAAAAGTAAAGCCTATGGCGTGACCTTTAATACCGATTACGTCATACAATTAGGTACTGAATAGAAGTGTAGAGGGGACAGGTTTTTTAAAACAAATCTAAGAATCATACGTGCACGTATCGATGTTGTACAATATTGTACAATCTTTGCATTAATCTAATGGCAACTAATTTGATTATTACTTTCGCTGTTGGAGATTTTAGATGACGATAATGATACAAGATGAATATTGTACACATATTATAAACTCTGTCTTTTTTACTCAATACAGGGCGAGTCAGATCATCTGCCTTACTACAACGAACATCCCTTTCAAAGAAAAATGGTGACGGATTACTGTAATGAGATAGCAAATCAGCCAAAGCTTCGTCCAATAAAACTGAATAGAGCCTGCTCAAACATCTCAAAGGTATGTAAAACTATTGTATATTAAGGCGAACCCGTGACATGTGTCATGTATGACATCATGTTCTTTCTCTCAATAATTTCTTGATTTGACTATGTAGTAATGTCAAGAGATTTTAATTTGTGGATAAAATAAATTGATAAATGTCATGTTGCCTACCATGCCTGAATGGCCCATCATAATCTGCATGATACTACAATTAACGTAGTTTGTTCTGAATATGAAAATGGACAGTCCATTTGACCCTTTTTTCCTGAACTCAATGTTTTCAACTTAAAGGGATATCCATTACATTTGACACAGACGGAGTTTAAGAAAAACGAGATAAATGTATGGAATTCTGAATTGATTGTCCTTTTTAATTTACAGGAGTTCAAGGACCAGTTCAGTCATCTTTCAAACATGATGCACCTTTACAACCTTACCAAGACCGATGTGGAAAACCTTTTCAAGTAGATCCAGGAAATCCCAGTAGACCGACAGCCCATGAGACCGCCAGCCCAGTAGACCGACAGCCTATGAGACCGCCAGTCTAGTGAACCCTCGGAGAAGTGGACAGAAGGCCCAGGCAGCCGATAGTTCGGTCGCATGGGCCGTTGGCGTCATGGACTGTCAGTCTCTACAAAATTAAGCAGTAAACCGAAGCTGGACTGATAGCCAATATAGACATGCAATATATATACATGCATTTTGCTTTATTTGTGGGGTTCACATAAATGCCGGATCAAGAAAAGTTGATGAAAGAGAAAATAAGAGGATCTTGGTAGATTAGCTTTGCTTTTTAATGATTTTAATAATTATGATCATTAGCTTGACATAAATCATTACGACACTTGTTATGCAGTGATTTATACATATGATGTTTTTGAAACTGGATTTCTGATCTTGTTTTAAACCAAGTTCTTTTTCAGAACGGACAATTTTGACCTTCATGTACACTTGGGTCGAGAACAAAAATAGCGACTAGCAATATATATGGCCAATCGCCCTGACAATGATAAATGGTGACAGAAGGTACGAAAAGTTATAAGCTGTTCCACTTTTGAGAAAGATATAAACTATAGGTAGATATGCTTGGTTTTTATAGACTTGATTCAATGAAAGGAAAATGAAACCGAAAATGAAGCGAAAATCTTCGATGATCACACAACTCGTATACAACATTCCACAACCAATCGGCAACTGTTTTACAAACGAAAGGCAACTGATCGCCCACTAGACGTTCCTGCAAATTGGTTGTCCATGGACGCAGTTAATGTTGGTTGTCAGAAGTTGGCAACCAGTTGTACGCCTAATGTGACTTGGGCTTTAACAAGGTATCCTATATTTCCAAAGTTAACAGTTTTCTTTATGACAATATTCCCATGGAGGGGAGTGCCATCTCGATTTAAAGGCATCGATTGACAATGTTAAATCTGATGTGCATGGCCCTACGTGTTATCAGTGACCGTGATATGGTGTAATATTGAAAACCTAACAAAATTGCTCTTCAAAATGGTCATGAAGTGCCTCAAAAAAGTAAAAATCTTTGAGTGACCGGTTTTACCATACTCATTTCCCCCAATCGACTGTAGTCTTAAAGAAACCGTTAGGAAAACGGTTTTTGACAATTCGAGTTCCAATCAAAAATATCTTGATAATCCAACAGGTGATCAGTTTGTAAAAACATGGGATTCCTGACTGACCTAAAGGTTTATAATTATGATTGCAGCATGAGCTACATCCAGGATTTCAGTGTTTAGAACCTTAATCTTATGTCAATAGTGATGTTAGAGTAGTACATATCCATTGACATGCATAGAATAGAAGAGGTTATGCAACCAAAGCCAGTGGGGACTTTTAGATTTGCCGAACGACAACGTGGATTGCTACGATCGACGTCCTTTTAATGCACTGCCTTGAATGGACGTCACACGTATCAGTCCACGCAAATCTTAAAGTCCCCATTGATGCAAATTAAGAACGACCATCTTGTTTAATACTCCAGCTTCTCAAACAGGTGATTTCTGTGAGCAGTTTTATTTACGTCTTTTGAATAATGGGCTGAGCTTTATCTGGTCAAGTAACAACTTATGCATGCCAAATGTTGCTTCACAAAAGAAAGTGCTCAACTGTTCCAAATGGCTGAACCAAATATCTTGTCGCAATTAGGAGTAAATATAAATGGTCTATTCCATTGTTATGGCATCATTTAAGAGGTGTGTGTCCGATATTGAAGGTAAAATACATGTCAGTGGGTACCTCGTTAGACGTATTACTTTCATATCACTATTTTAATCAAAATGGCTACTCCCAAAGGAAAATGACTAGCAATAAATCTGCAACTTTTGAGATATTCTGTAAGTTTTCCTTCCCAGATAAAAAGATTAATTTCAAGATTTGTTTAAACTGGGCGACAATTTTTAAAAAGATTATCAGCTAATGTTTTAGGGTTTAATTTTCCTTTAAAGAAATATGATATTTTTTTTTTTTATAATAATGGAGATTGTAAAAGCTTGTATCTTCATTGATCCTTACAATTTGTAAAATGTACATGTGATAATTTGTTTTTATTCGGCAAGTGGTGAAATGAAATGTATGCCTGCAACGATGAAATTGATTCCAAAACAAAAACTTTTAAGTAGCCGTGAAGTAATAAGATATATTGGTATGGTGGGTAAACGATTTTATTAATTATGTAACTTTAGTATTTTTGTTATTGTTGGTTGATATGCTTACTTGTCAGAAGATATTCGGGTGCTGCAGGAGGGCGAATTGATCGTTGTAAATGATGATGTAGTAGGGGCTTTTGGGGCGGCTACCAGCGAATCTACCGGTTTACTAACATATTCAAATTTATGGATGTTTCTTTTCTGGGGACCTAGTAACGAGTTATTCTATTAACCTGTTATTAACGAATGAACTACAATATTTTAAATCCAGTATGCATAATATTCAGTTCTTGTATAGTGCATAATACGTTATGAAATATCTTTATGCACTTCCAAAGAGCTTTGGAAATTATTACCCAGCTAGCTTTAGCTCCGGCGGCCGTTATCAGCGCACAGTGCATTTCAAGGAATATTCCTACCAGGTACCCCATTACCTCACCTGGGTTGAGTGTGGCAAATGTAGATTAATGTCTTGTCAAAGGACATTAGTGCCGCGCTGGGGCTCGAACCGCGGACCTCGTGATTCACAGTCCGGTGACGTATCCACTTGACCACGACACCTGTATGTTGTTGCTTTGTCGGGCAAGCCTCGGACATATTTGTTAGGTTTCAAAAACAACTTTTTTTATGGGTATACATAATATTTGAATATGTTAGTATATCTGTCTTTTGTAAAGAGAGAAAAAAAATGATAAATCAAGCCCTTTTTGCTTTTGTAATATTTCCGGTTTATATGAGGTCGGATTTTCATTAACCTGAATTTGTTTTAATACTGTACCTAATGATAAGTTTTCTCAGTATTTTAGGTGTGTCAGTCACCGAAACTTGTTTGCTGTTGGCGTTAGGGGTAACATATGGCTATATATGTATACAAACTATTAGCTGTTATATGATGAAGCATTTGATGCTCTTATGATATCTTGCATGTATACACTCATAATTATGTAATGGTACATATAAATATATATATATTATTCTGTATTCCGTGCCGCGACGTAGTATTGGAACCTTACCACTGAAATAATACAAACCCTCTACAAATATTGTATCCATCCTTGTCTTGTCTAATATCCATGAGTTCCCGTTCCTGTGATAATGTCTGTTTTATCTTGTAATGTTCTCAATTTCCCCCTTGCCAGTCCTCCCTTCCCTTAGCTTATACTCCCCTTTCCTTCATTAATTCCCTCTTCTTCCTCCAATCTAATTCGGGTCTGCCCCCAACAAAGTTTCGCTTCACTGTAAGCCCCTTCACTAATGCTTTATACAATGAATGATGAAACGTACTTGTAGGCTTTATTATTATCTTGGCTATTCTATTTAGAAACCAAACGCTTGTAGTTAAGTAGTTTACTGAAAAAGAGTAAACAGAAAAGGGATTATATTGTGTAATGAAAAAGAAAAAAAATTATGTGCAAAAATGAATGAACTTCAATTTGAGCTTGAGTTAATTAACGCACGCGTACACACACGCAAAAAGAGGGCGCACACGGAACCAAAGTCTGACTGAGGATCTGTGTACGCCCTTTGTGTAGGGTTTTTGTTATCCTTTCTTTTCCTTTATACTCCTGAACTGTGGAAATGTACATATATAATGCCACTTAAGGTTTTTGATTATGATTTTTACATTCTATTTACACAGATTTTTTTCAGGCGATTGGTAATCTTTAAAGTACATTTAGTGTATTGTGATCATGGTGCGGATCCAGGAGGGGGCCGGGCCCCCCCCCCCCCCTTGAGAAAAAAATCATGCAAAATCACACGATTTTTACCTTTTTTTGGGGTTGGGCCCCCCCCCCCCTGACGCTCAAAAAAAATTCGAGGACCAAAAAAAAAAAAATTGTGCTCACTACCCCCCCCCCCCCCCCCCCCCCGGCGCGATTTTCAAATTTTCGGGAGCAAAAAAAAAAAAAAAGTTGGCCCCCTCCCCTAAGAAATCCTGGATCCGCGCCTGGTATATGTGGCATTTCTTTAGCGACGTAATGATTGTAAAATGTACTGTTTGGGGCTGAAATAAATTTGCTGTGTTGTGCGATTGACGAGTTGCTCTTTTTATTCATATGAGTGTAGTAGAAATGTGAATGATTATATTAAGGGAACATTTATATTCATGCTACCCTCGTTGTTAGACGTGACATAGCAAAGTAAAAGTTTAGATCCTAAACAATTGCTTCCATACCTTAGAAACAGAAGCACATTTCAACACGTCACTATTATCAATAGCTCTTTTATTGAAAAAATATGTATAGATCCACAAGTTGATTTCCATCCGCCTTCTTTTTTTACAACAGGTTTTATCATTGTAGGACATAAGTAATTCATACATGTGAATCCGTTTAAAAAAATTATAACATTCGCCTATATATAACTTTTCATTTCAATAAGAGTTGATATCGACATTGCTTTTCTTCTTCCCGATGTATATATAGCGGTAGGACCCAGATGTTATACATTGTAATATGTTTTCACCAGATAGTTTAGTAATAGAAAAAGAGCTATATCAAAGAGATTTCCAAAGTTAAAGCATTTTGAGCACACACTCTGAAGTGTATTGAATACAGCATCCCTTTGTGGTAGCATACCTTAGTTTTTAGAGCTTACACTCATTTGTAATATTTACATTGCATGTAAAGAGAAAACCAAGCCTGAATAAAGAGGGGGCGTCGATACAGGAGGTGGGGTGTGACACCCTTATTAAAGCTGTTGGTAAATCTCAAATGCATTTTGTTTGTACGCCAGTAAAAGATGTGAACGTCTGTCAGCATATTCGATAAACCGACAACCGTAATTTTCCTTGTCGGCAAATTAGAAAATTTTGAGCTGACTTGTCGATAACTTTGTTCGACACTCCACTCCCCATTTAAAATGGTCTGGTGACGGCCTTTATGACTAAACCACAAAACAGTCGGCATTATGCTCATTTATAATGCCTTAACAAATCATATGAAACTCATGAAGAAAAAAAAGATTCAACAATATACAGAATAATGACGTCAATTCCCTGGTAAAAGTTTAATTTTACAGTTCTTCATGTATATTACAGTGAAAAGCAGTTCTACATTTTTTAATCACCCTAAACAATTTATCAGGCAAGTGTAGAAAAGGAATACACGAATTACCCCCCCCCCCCTCAAAAAGAGAAGGACAAATATTCTTCTTGGATATGAGAAGTATAGGTTCATATAGATAAGCCGTCCCCACTCTATAATTGCTTTCTCGTTCATACGTTTAGAACAGTGTTACATAATGATACACAAGTATAGGTATATATATATATATATATATATATATATATGTGAGAAATGAAAGTAAAATTACGAAAAGATTATTGAAATCGATTCAAATAAGGGGGAAAATCATCTGAAATCATTTTCCAAAAAGATAATTAATGTTTTTTTCAACGATTGCATTTGAAATATAATTCATTATCGGTCATAGAAATATAAAGATATATAATGCTTAGTCTTCAAGATAAATTTTAAACATAATTTTAGCCAAATAATAGGTACACTGATATCTGTAAATGAAATATAGAATTGAAAAACTTGGCTTGCACCAATAAAATATATTTGTAGGGACGTTTATCTGACTCTGTGAAAGGATAAGCGATGGTACTAGTTAATACTTTAGTGGATAGGGAGTAGAAATATAATTAAATTTCAATCGGATTCATGCCTTTTGATAGAATCCCGTGATTGAAGGGAAGCAACCAAAAACAAGCCTTCATTTTCCCCAAATGCCATTAAGATTTCAGTCCGTTGAAAATAAATTCTTACAAAGGAATGGTTGCGAGTCCTTTCAATTTTGTTTATGACCATCACATTCTTCATATAATATAATCAAGTACAGCTGCAACGGAAAAGCGTGTAGAAGATACATTACAACTATGTTAATCTTTTGGATATAAGCGAGGTCCATTCATATATTTTTCCATTATCATGATTCTAACTTGATGTAGAGCCATTATTAGTTACATGCGTAACCAAAATCATTTACAAATTATAGATGTAAACCTTAACTTTCGTTCTTCATCTCGTAATATAATGCTACCATCTTGAATTTCTAAATCACAACATTGCCCTCAACATTGAGCGTACATCATTTTCATTCGGAGGCCAATATAAGCTGGTCTTGTTTCTGAACCGGCAAAATAAATGGCCTTCGAACCATGATCAATACTCCAAGGGCAAGTCTCTACTTTTTTATTACATGAACAAACATTTTGTTCTCTTTCCGAGCCCAACAATGGGTCGCCTAATCACTTGAAATAGGCCGTTTTAAATGCCCTTCAATAGGGGTAAAAAGCACAACTCCAGGAATCAAACCTGGTCATGACTGGAGACTGGAGAGGCATATTTTATTTGACTTACGAGAAGAAAAAACTGCAGCCACTCTAAATCTTTAGTATATTGCTATTTGTAAACATTAAAGATATAGGGTATATATTTCGAAAAATACAATTTAGTTTGTGTATGGATAACATCTCATTGCGCTTCCACAGTTATTCCCCATCATGAGAAAACGAAACACATCTTTTTAATCCATTAAATTTGGTTTTTCGTTGGCCAGAATTCTCTTCATGCTTTCAAAAAATGCTGATGCGTTATGCTCGTAGCAGTCATCGTCAGCTACGGATTTTATGACTTCAGGAGGTGCGGTCATTCCTTGGGCCCCAGAAGACATTAGAAGAACCTGCATTTTTAGAGGATGGAGAGAGAAGAGAGGATGCGTGAAGGAATGAATACATGGAGGAATCTCACTTTGGAAATATTCCTGTGTAGAAAAGGACCAACATCATAGATATGATGAAAAAAAAGGATCCATAACATCAGGTAATCATTAGATTGAAACTTAATCTAAGCCTTCTCAGTTATTCCCTTTTTTATAAATCAAATAACTATAAATCTAAATATTACAGTCAATGAACACAATCTGACAAGGCAACTGGTAAAATGAAGTACGATTTATGGGGCATAAGTACAAGAATGCCATACCTCCTGTACGACATTTCCCCCAGAGTATTCTCTATTGATTGATTCCGTGGTCCCGCGTTTTTTTTGTGTTTTTTTTTTGTGGGGGGGGGGGGTGGGTTATTATTTTTGGGGGTGGGAGGTTCATTATTTATGTCATGGATTTAACCCCCCCCCCCCCCCCCCAAAAAAAAAAAAAAAAAAAAATTAAAAAAAAAAAAATTAAATTTAAAAAATTAAAAAAACTATAAAAAAACTATCGCTTTTAATTGCATTTAATATGAGCAGAATGTACTCATGAATGTTTTGTCTTGTTATCATATTTTACAAACCTGTATCTGGGCCGCTCTTTCGAGATAATACAAATTATCAAATGCATCGCATGCTCTCTTGGCTACTGCTAAGACTCCGTGCTGTCCCATTAAGAGGAGGTCCTTGTCTCCTAATACCTTGGCTAGCCTCTCGCCTTCATCAGAAACGTTTGCAAACCCGTCGTACTGCATGTCATACGCGATCTTGTTCAGAAAACGCATGCTGTTCTGACTCAGGCCAATCTTGAACGGTTCAGGGTCCTTCATGCAAGCTAGAATGATTTAAAAGGAAGATTGATATATGAATTATTTCATTATACGATCTATCCCCATCTATCGTACATAACCCTGTCCCCCCCCCCCCCCCCCTCCCCAGTTCCCAAAATCACCGGTATAGTCCAGGTGCACAAACAGCCTTAACGAGAGCGGATGGATCGTAGAATCAACAAATGAAGACATGTATCATTTATCTTCTTCAAAGAAACTCCTAGGTCCTTGTGATTTTATATTTATGTGCTTTGGGAATCAGATAATTTCAGAGTACACAATTAAGAGTGCAAAGTCCTCGAAACCGGGCCTCGAAATAACTAATACTAATTTAATGAATACTGTGCCTACAAATCAGAAATATGTAAAACTATAAATTACAGATAGAAGTTACGTAATTTAAATTTTGGCATCAAAGACATTCGCATAACATCACCGAAACAACTAACGAAAAACTAACTAAGGGCAAAGTAAATAGCCCTGTCCATCACCAATTGAAATGTGCGCCCATGAATTACTTAATCCGAACATGATTTCTATATGATATACAATAGGGTAATGGATTTGCCCTTGAGTTAATTTTTCCGACAGTAGTTGCAATTGTGTCGAATCAAGCTTCGCTAAAAAATGGCTTCACAAGGAATAGCCAACTCGTTTAGATTTATGCCTAATCTCTTCACGCATTACCAATAGTTTTTATGGATTACCGATGGTTGTAGTGTAAGGTTGGTGTGTGTGCAATACTGCTGTCATCCCATCTATTGGATAACGTGCATTATGGATTGGTCTGTGTATGCAGGAGGCAGAGATATTCGGCTCTCCATCGCCCTCTATAACTTCTCCGGTGAAGAAATCCATTCCCAGTAAGCCCGACGCAGTCACCTTATCAAGAAAAAAGTGCACACTTCGTGAAAAACCGTAGAATTAATTCACTTTATGTATTCCAGTATTCTCACCTCATGGGATAAAATACTGAGGATTTATAGATATAACATTAAAAGTGTAATAAGCTATACCCATTCCGGACCATCTGCTGAAACTATAGGAAGCATACATAACCGCGTAGCCAGGATTTCATTTTAGGGGGGCGGAAGTGAGCACGTGAAGCGTGCGAATCACTTACAGAGCGCGCTCCCTAGGAGGGTAGGTGCAGGGAGGGTGGAGTTCCCCTCCCCCCCCCCCCCCCCCCATCGCGAAGCGCGGAAGCTTTGACGTTCCATTGAAGTATTAGAGAAAGAAGGCGATTCGTTGTACCATTCTCGATTGACTCTTAATCCTTGTCTGAATTCAGTTTGCCCCCTCCCGCGCGAAGCGCGGAAGCTTTGACGTTTCATTAAATTATTAGAGAAAGAAGACGATTCGTTTTACCGTTCTCGACTCTTAATCCTTTTTCTTCCTACGTCCTCTTTCTTTCTTCTTTTTTTCTCTCTTTTTTTTTTTGGCCGGCTTTTTTTTGGGGGGCGACCGCCCTCACCGCCCCCCCCCCCCCACGGGTGCTGGAGGGTAGAATGATCTGCCAATAGGAATGTGCGTGATGATGTGTGTAGCTTGTGTGGGGGAGGGGGACGTGTTGGAAACAATGTGTAAGGGTGCTACGATACTTACCTCTTTCCAGTGCATTCCGTATGGGATGAGTAGCATCACATCTTCTTCTCTGACGCGAGATGGCGCTCTAAGAGTCAAATGGTTACAGATGCCCTCGCCCATATCAAAAAATTCTAACGCTCTGTATGTTGTAGCCAGGTCCACACGGGCCTTGTAATTTGCTTCATCGCGACTAGATTGGTCTTTAGGGCGACTGTGTTGAATAGAAATAAAAAGGAAAGAGATTATATTGGTCAGTTATTACGAATGCGAATAAGCCAGATCAGCAGATGTTTTAGTGGCTCTGCAAGTTTTTGGTATGACTATGCTTGTCCGAGCAGCAGTCGCATAGTAAAATATCGCTCTCCGTATGAAACCGAATTTATGTCCTACATAAACATTTCTATCCAGCGATACTAGCAACAGGCCAAACAGAGCAAACAAAATTCAGAAAGTATGACAACTTGGATTTTCTTCAAAAGCCATATTGGCAGCGGTTTTGTTGTTGTTGTTGTTGTTTGTTTGTTTTTGTTTTTTTTTTTTTGGGGGGCGTAATTAAATGATTTGGGACCAAAGTGGTTACCCATGTATTTTCAACATCACGATTCACCCATAGTAAGTGGAAAGAACACAAGCTGTGAATTTGAGCACATATGCTTCAGATATTTAACGTGAAATTGAAAATTATTTAGAAATACCATTGCATATTACGTTACACATTATGTTATAACAGTTTGTTTAAAGGAACACTAAATTACGATTAAAACAGTTTCCATTTGCTCAAGCAGCTCAACTCAGATATTATATCTTGATATCACATGAGAACGTACAAAATATTTTGCCCACATGCAAACTCGAATGCAATGGCAAGTTTGAATAACAGTTTCCTAGATCATAACATCATTCTGTTTTAAGTGTGATTTGTAAGTTGTAGAAACACTAAGAAACTTACCTCGGGACAAGCTATCTCATATGATTAAACGTATTACCATGTACAAGGGACTACTGAATAACAGGAATAGTTTGACCAGAATGCAACGCCACTCATTGGGGTTCACAGGGCTCAAAGCCGACCCCCCCCCCCCCCCCCGCAGCCTTTCTCACTCGTAGGCTTAACCCCCTCACTGGTTTGCTTCCAATGTCCATTCACTTGAATTTTGAATTGCCCTTCCTCTCCTTCCCCCCCCCCCCCCCCACAAAAAAATAGGTGCGAGCCAGAAATGAGAATCCGTCCATTTCATTGATTACATAAAAACTAAATTGACTTGCATCCTTGAGGTTTTGTACAAAAGTAACAATACACACATGATTGTAAGCCTACTCGTAGAAGGAATTTGGAACGGATTAGTACAAAGTCCCATTATAATGTAGAGTTTACGAGACTGATAGATAACGTGGTTTTCGCTTAAATGATGACTGAAGAAAATAATAAACACCGTTGTGTCTGGGACTGTGTATGCACCTTACAAACCGATATGTTTTCTCAGTTGCTACATAAATACAGTTAAGTATATCACTCACATCAACAGGCTTAATAAGAAACCATGACACAACAGAGGGATAGCTAAACGGTACACAATTATGTCAACCGTAGAGGAGTGTCTGAACTGAAAGATTATGCATGGTCTACTTTACTGGATTTCATAATTATATCGGCCCCGTTCGACCATGGACTAGTAGGTGCGTCCATGGTTTAGAGACTCACAAGTTGTGTTTAGCTCAAGACTTCGTGAATTATTGCGTTTTATTGTCGAAATAGAGTCTATGGCTACTGACGTCAAGGGGTACAAGGGCATGAAGAGGGGAGACATTACAATAACATTTGATAGATATATAAATATTTATAGAGTTATTTATTCATGTTTTCATTTCCATTATATAGTTTAAATTCATGTTATCATCCCGCCCCCTTTATTCCATCTAGGACCCCTCACAAATGAACCCAGATATCAAGAAGTCTTACCTCGATGTGACGGTTGATGCAGTGGTCTGCCATCTTAAGTTACAGAACTGAGTTAAGAACAATGGTTTCAGCTTACCACTGCAAAAGCTATAACAAAACAAAGACATTGAAATATGTTGAACTAAGCACATTGTCAAACGAATAGATTAGCGCCACAACCAGAAATACTGACTACATGTATGGTGAATTGACCATTTCAAAAACGAATAACGTTTACATAGCGACTAGCTATTACCAAAGAACTACTGCAGACATATATTCTTTGTTTTTCAAAGCTTTTTTACGGAATTACCCCCAAAATCACTTTCTAGGTCTGTCCGTAACAAAGTATATAAAATTCAATATTTCATAAATTTGATGAATTTGATTGAAAGGAAACCCAAATGCGGTGAAAGTCAATATATCATATCATTGATCTGCGGATCATCATTAAAATGTCTACGATATTCTCCATTAAAGAGTAGAAAATTCCCTGGACAAGTGACATTCCGTAACGCTTGGAATCTACCTTAATTTAAATGAGGTATGGGGTTGGCTCTGACAGTGCACACTCAGACGGAGGCAATTTAACGTGGGGGTAAAGGTCGTGTTAAGAGCTAGTCGGGGTAAATATGGTGAGGTAGGTGTAAAGGTCGGAGTACACTCTACAAAATATTGGGCACAAAATTACTCAATTTTTACCCAACATGAGGGCGATTGCTTTGCCACTGAATCATTACTCTGTACGGCCACGCCTTGTGGTTTAAGGCATGGCCACACAGAGGATTTTTCTTTATATTGGGGACCGGGGGAAAATGCAATGAATTATTGATAATTTATTGCATTTTCTTCGTTTGTGGGGGTTGCCCCCCAGGGGCGGATTCAGCCGGCGGCAGGGGAGTGGGCCCAATTCGTGAAAAAATATTTAGCGGCGAAATAGCCCCCCCCCCCCCCCCTTGAGCGCCAGGGGAAGGGGCCCATCTCCAAAAAACTAAGGTTAAATTAACATGTTTTTACACATTTTTTCCGTGGGGAGGGCCCCCCCCCCCCCGCCCCTGGATCCGCCACTGCTGCCCCCTACCCTAGCCCCCGCTGCGTACAGTCATGATTCAGTGGCAAAGCAATGGCCTAGTAACTGTGAGGCCCCATGATCAAAACCGTGTCGATCAGCTATATTAGTGCCCTTTTCTGAGGCTTTAACCCTCATTACTGTCAGTTATGACTACAGATGTAGGTCCTCTTGTTGATAAACATTGTAGCATATACATGCTTTAGCAGTCATGCAAAAAAACACTCGCTAATTATTATTCAATAACATCTGAGAATGTATACTATTTTCTAGATCTATTAGGAATAAATCATTGTCAAAATCATTCCATAAATTGAGGTAAAAAACATTATTCCATTTGTATGACCATCAGTGTATATTTAGAAGGCATATAAAGAATATAAACATTATACACATACATGTAGTTACTATGATGATAATTTTGTACTCTAGAACTATCAAATGTACATTGGGTGAGTGCTAGATGTACGTTCATTGTGACGTTACAAGTGTTAATTTGTCACATTATGCCTACCTTGACCATTCTTCCGTTGATTGATTCACAGCCAAACGTAGCAGCTTTCTCATAGTAAACATGTTTGTATGAATTCAGTTACAACTAACTATGAACGAAAGAAATACGTAGTACGTGGCACCGGTGTTGAGTAGCAATCCGTTGGAGCTGATATTTTTATGATAATCCTAATGGATATACGTCTTGTATTAGTAAACAAATACAATCACGAGCACCAGATAACACTCCTCCAACAAAGACGTGCCTGCATGCGTCACATTACGAACGGTTGCCAAAAAGTCGTCGAATTTCAAACCCGCCAGGGAGTCGGGTGTATTTTACGCTTGAATTCTACCCTGTCACATATTGGACGGGGCTCGGACTGATACGGCGCTCCGCGGATCCACGGGCCGTTTCTACCTCCCCCCCCCCCCCCCCCAGCCTCCCAAACCGTTAAAAAATAGGATAGTTACGTAAATTTTACCTTAAAAAAACAACAACAAAAACGCCCTCCCCCCCTGATCTGCCAGTTACACAAATGCGGCATCAAAATATTTGTGCTTCTCTGACCGTAATTAAATGCCTAAAACCCCTGAGCTTCTTGGGGCTCCGCCCCCTGAACCCTCCACACCAATTTACGCTCGCTACCCTCTACGTGATCGTAAATACTTTAGCCCCCCCCCCCCCCACTTTGATAAACGTTCCGCGGGGCCTGTGTATATACGCATACAACACTGATCTTTATGATGTCTTTAACGTGACATATCTATGAACATGACTGACAAAGAAAGCGGACAAAATATACAGTTCCTCAGGTAGACAAAGGAACATCCCTTCACTGCTATTATGTAAAAATGTGTAGAACAGGTGTCACATGCATATTCACCTTTTTACATAATAGCAGTGAAGGGATGTTCCTTTGTCTACCTGGGGAACTGTATATTTTGTCCGCTTTCTTTGTCAAACGAGAAAGAAAAGAAGGTCATTAAAAGGGATTAAGAGACAAATAATGATTGTGATTCAAATTGATGCGAATATTTGTTTGAATAAGCACTGCTATTCACCAGAATCTTCTTTGCAAAAACAACTTTTACAAATATCAGCCGTGCTTACTGAGTTGAGACGTTCCATTCAATTAAAAATACTCATCAAAGAATACACTTCTCCTAATCTGAAAACGATCTTTCAACACAGTGGCAGAATTGCATGGCTTATTTGTAAAAGTCGTTTTACAAGAAGATTCTGGTGAAAAGCATTGCTTATTCAAAAAAATCCTTGCATCAATTTGAATCACAATGATCATTTTGTCGCATGCGTCGCATGATCCTTTTATTAAAAAACCTTGGTTTCTTTTTTATTTGCAGGGGGAGAAGAAGCTATGTCAATAAGAAATCACAAAGATCGGTTGTATTATGCGTATATACATATGATAACAGAACAAAATGTTGATTATCAGAATGTCATTTTGGAATACCTCTATACATGATACCGGATCTTACTGTGCCGATACCATATTGTCTTAAGCCAGTATCAGTATTAGTATTAGCCAATGTAAAATTATTCTTCTTTATTCAGTTCAGTATAATGCTTTTCCTCAAAAATAGTTTCGCTATTTTTTTAGGGTTGAGACGCTAAGAAATGGTTTCAAAGCAGCAACAAAAAATTAGGGTTATCTGGGATAGGTGAAAGTGAGAGTTAAAAAGAAAGTCATGCTAAAACGGCGCTTCACCTCCAACCCCCCTCGAAAAAAAAAAAAAAAAAAAATAGTGGTCCTCCTCTTCAGCACCCCCCCCCCCCCCCCCCCGCTTTAATATTCACCGGCCGGCTGAGTCGGCGCAAAAATGTTCCCAAAAACTGGACCCCAAAAAACAAATATATGTGCTCTTATCCGACGCCACCCCCCGCTCATTCGCCTTTCGCCGGCTGGCTGATTCGCCGCTAAATATTTTCTCAAGATTTGGGCCCCCCCCTTTGCCGTCGGCTGGATCCGCCCCTGGGTGGGGGGCACAGGAGGCACAGAGCCCCCCCCCCCCCCCCATTTTCAGGTACCCCCAAATTGCCCCTTTTTACATAGGGAAAATGCCCCCTTCACTTTGTAAGAACTGCCCCTTCCACATCTAAAAAGTGCCCCCTTTTCCTTTTTATAAGTGCACCTCCATTTTTCTTTATAAGATCCCTCTCACTTTCTCATAAGTGTCCCTTTCACCTCTGATAAATGCCTCTAATACATGATTAGTGCCTCTTTTCCTTCACAACTGCCCCTTTTCCTTTGCAATAAGTGCCCATTTCCCATTCTCATAAGTGCCCTTTTTCATCTCTGGTTAGTGCCTCTTTTCCTTCGACAACTACCCATTTTCCTTTGCAATAAGTGCCCATTTCCCATTCTCATAAGTGCCCTTTTTCATCTCTGGTTAGTGCCACCTTTTCAGGTACAAGAAGTACCCTTTATCACCCCTGAGTAGTATCCTCTTCACATCTAATAATTGCCCCTATTCAAATCTGACAGGTACACGTTTTACTTTGACAAATGCCCCTTTTCCAGTGAAATAATTGCCCCCTTCCCCTTCTGATAAGTACTCCTTTTCATCTTTGATGAGTACCATATTTCCTTCGGTAAAGTGCCCCTTTACCTTCTTTATAATTATGATCACCTTTCTCTTTTAATCTGATAAATGCCCCTATCAAAATCTGATAGGTGCTCTTTTACTTCAATAGATGTCCCGTTCCATTCTCGAAACTGCCTTTTTTTTCAACTCTGTTGAGTGTCCCTTTTCAGATGTAAGAAGTGCCCCATTTTCACCTCTGATAATTGCCATTTTTACTTTGACACATGCACCTTTTCTTTTCTAATAACTGTCATTTTCCCCTCTGATAAGTGCCTACTTTTCCTTCCTCCATAACATGATCCCCTAATTCAAAGTGACTTAGAGCCCCTTTTTATTTAATGTTCCCTAGAGCTTGCTCGCATTTGTAGTTGTTATAATTATGTTACTTATCAAATGCTTCTTTATAAGATGTAAGTTTACACAATGCGACCTCACAAATCTTAAAATGTTTGCTCGTTCGAATATTAATATCCAGATCATCACACCCAACTGCAAAGTATGTTGCTTAAGCAGTATATTGTACCACGTAAAGAGATAAACAAATACTGATGTCATCCCTGGTCGTGTTATCGCAATCATGATTATGTAGGGAAATATACCAATGTCTAAAAATGGTGTATGTTCACTTAAGAGGTTTCCCTTTGTAGGTGCCCCTTTTTTTCAAGAAAGTGCACTTTTTTGTGGGTGCCAACCCCCCCCTCCCCCCCCCCCCCCCCCCCCCCACTTTGGAAGACACTCCACCGCCCCTGTGCTCGGGAGGTGCCCTTTGGACACTAGTGGCGTCCATCAATAAACAAACGGGAGTCCGGCGAATCCAATTGTTGACCTCCGATAAATACTCAAGGCTTCCATTGGTTAACACGCAAAGACATGTATTTTAAGAATGATTATGCTACCCCTAGAATCCTGTTGAAATGATGTGCAATGGAATTTATATGATGTTTGAAGAAATTGATAACCAGAAAATAAAACTCGAAAAAAGCAGGAAAGAATAAAGAAAAAAGGAAATAATTCTGAATCATGTATTTGCTTGCATGACTACGCTTTGCAAAGTGTTTAGTCTGCAGTTTATTCACCTCAATAAAATAACGAAAAGGGAATACACTTTATCATGTATTTTATTGCCAGTGCAACCTTGTTTCCTCGTAGCTAAATTAAAAAGAGAGTTATGTTGTGTGATCAGAGTACACGCTTTTACAATATTCATTCACAATACCCCACACACACTCATAATTCCATAAGATCATACCAATTCAGCTCCACTTTCATTTATGGATATTTCAGCCGTCTCTGAACCGATTTTGATCAAACAAAGATGATTTTGTCATTTTAATTGTATGTTCTTTCAAATTTGACACTCAATTTTTCATTTTCTTACACAAAATTATTCTGTGTAGCGCCCTCTGCAACAAAACTAAAATATCCCTTTATACTTTTAAAAAACTCCTATATCGAAGTATCTACATAATTGATTGTAGTAGGCAATTATTATTGATATCTCAAATTTTGGTCATATTGCAACTCATTTTTGCAAATTTCGTATTCTATTTCGTATTCTTGGTTTCCTGTATTGAAAAGGCAACATTTGTTTCCACTCCACCATACAACACAGAGCTACGTGCATATCATAGAGATATATATTAATAAGACACTATTCGCTACACACACATACAAACACGCACGCGGGGGGGGGGGGGGGGGGGTAAGAGGTCACTTTTTTATCTCGAAATTTGAAAATTTGTCATTATGTTCCGTTGGGGGGGGAAGGTTACCTTTTTTAGGTCAGCCATTGGCATAATTTTTTTTTTTTTTTTTTTTTTTTTTAAAGGAAGGGGGGGGGGGTTTTCACAAAAGACATACACAAAACATACACATACAAAAAACTCAAGGGGGTTTAACCCCAACCCCCCCCCCCCCCCTGCGTACGCGCCTGCACACACACACACACACACTCTCTCTCTCTCTCTCTCTCTCTCTCTCTCTCTCTCTTCCTCTCTCTAGTTAATCTGTTTCACGCCGTTTACTATCATTGGTGAACGGTTCATTTATTTTATTTTTTATCAGCATTTAGTCAAGGTTTATCGAATTTTAATTTGCTACAGTAAAAAAAAAGTACCACATTCTTTCTTTTCATGTACGGCATTTGCCTATTTCTATCAAGAAAGTATGACAAAGTACAAACAAGAACAGTTTGGCCAAAACCAAAGTATCTGAATAATTATGAAACCGTCTTCTATGCTGCTGACTTAATTGCACCCATTCATGTTTCCCTTTTTCTGTTATTTATTTCACAACCGGGAGGTCGTGGGTTCGAACCCCGGCCGCGTCATACCAAAAGACGTTAAAAGATGGGAGTTGTTGCTACCTTGTTTGGCGTTCAACAATAAAGGATAGAGCAACGTCGATCTGGCGCTGCTCAGTGGCTGCCGGGCTCACGATCAATTGGGCAAAAAGAATTTCCGTTTCGGTTTAATAACATTTGGAGTGGACTATTAGGCTATTATTATTATTATTATTATGAATGCTTACACACTTTTTTTGGGGGGGAGCGGAAGTTAGCACGCAAAGCGTTGCAAAACACTTAGAGAGCGCGCTAGACGCGCTCCCTATGAGAGTGGGTGCAGGGAGGGGGAGTCCCTCCCCCCCCCCCCCCCACGCGAAGCGCCGAAGCTTTGACGTTTCATTAACTTACTATAATACAACAAGAAGACGATTTGTTGTACCGTTCTCGACTCTTAATCCTTGTCTGAATTTTCAAAAATAATATAATTTTTTCATTGGGATAGCTTGAGAAATGGGCTTCATGTATGTGATAAATATATTGACGTTTATCACCAATCACCAAGCAATCAGCATTTCATCATAATATTTCCATAATTGCTTGTGGGAAATAGTATGTTAGTCATTATTTGCCACATTATTAGGACTTATTTCTTGTTTACTTGTGGTATGAGAGCGGGGTTGTATCTACATAATGGCTAGCAAGTCCTACACTCTCCTCAGCTGCTCGAAGTAGAATCTCTCTTTTCTCTTCTCTTTTTCTCTCTTTTATTTTTGGCCTGCGTTTTTTTAAGGGGGGGGGCGACCGCCCCAATCGCCCCACCCCTTGGCTACGCACCTAGTGTGTTAGCATTATATAGATCTTAAGACTTATTCCCCCCCCCCCCTCTCTCTCTCTCTCTCTATCAGCTCTCTCTCTCTCTTACCATGGACCTAGTACATGCTCTTACCCTCCCTCTTTATCCCTGTCTCTTTCGCACTCGCTCTCTCATACATATAATAGGTCTGTGAATTTCCTGGGCGCCTTCATCATACTTTATATAAATCGTAAGACACTCTATCTATGGACATATTTAATTCTATAATTCTACCATATGAATGTAGTTGTCAGTTTGATTTGAGCATGTTGTATATGTCTAAATCAATTAAATTGAACAATCGGAATAATTACTTTTTCTCTTTCTCTTTCTTTGTACCAGAGAAGCATTAATTGTACGATTGTGACTATCGTCGACTAAAGCTGGCGAAGGGTTAATCATGGATGTCATCGCTAAGTATTGGTCTTATTTTCCTAATTTCTCCTTCTTCGGTCTTTCTTTTTATGTTTGTTTTGTTCTTGTTGCTTTTCCTATGATATGCTTGCGCATTACCACATCTTGTTTTCCTTCTCCTGGATCCTATCTGGATCGAACCATACCTTGTCCAGGTGCTGGCACTACTTTGTTGTGTTTGTATTTCATTTAGAGAGTTTATATTATCAATCAGGTATGATCTAGTATGAGGACGGACTCACCAAGGACTTGTAACACAATCCCTGTCCTCCCAAGCCCTACAGAGAACGATTTGGACGTGCGCCACCTACGTTCTATAAGAAGATTATCGAAAATTGATGCGGTAATCCGTTTCTATCAGTAGGGACTTTTAGATTCGCACGAAGACAATGGGGATATATTGCTACGATCGACGTCCTTTTAATGCACTGCCTTGAATGAACGTCGCACGTATCAGTCCACGCAAATCTAAAAGTCCCTATTGCTGCTAGAACTCAGCCTCAACACACCTCATTTAAGCTAGACACGATTCGTTTGAAAATGTATCATATCGTGCATTGTGCAAGGCATGTTCAAAACGATACTTATAATATAAGCTTGAATTGGACCTGACCTCGTTTGTGAAAATGCGAGTGGAAGATACTTTATTGTTTTAAGTACACTGCTATGTGTAGACCGGTTTACTAACAAGTAAATTTGTATGCATACTTTTTAAATAAAGGTTGTTCTTTACAACATAAAAGTTTGCCCGTCATAGCAACTAGTAATATATTCAAACCAGATTCCATGTTAAATTGCAGTTCATTCATTTATAACAGATTCAAAATATTATCTTTTCATTTCTTTGAAAATGTTTCTGTCATGAATAATAATTAGTAATGAATTCATTATATTGTATTATGTAGAGTATTATTCGCCTTTAAAAAAAAACGTATTTAACTTGTGAGAAGCCCCATGTACCTGCACAAAAACTGCTTGATTTGTTTACGATGCCAAAATAAATTAAATTAAACTTAGAACATTACAAAAGTTTAATTACAACTTATCCTTTTCATATTGATAATTCGATATTACAACAGCATCGAACATCATCGTCAAAGAAAGATTTTGTGAGGTCCGCTGGGAAAAACCCCTTTTTTACTTTCATTTTTTTTTTTTAAATAACCCAACACAAGGAGAGAAGACAGGAAAATCCATAATTCCATTGATTATAGTCTTTTGAAACACATATACTTTGTATCATAGATGAAAATAATGATAAATATATGAGGAAACATATTACCGCATCCTCGAGCAAATGAAATAAAGATCAGTATCAAATACTATCATTCATTTTCAAACTTATTCAAATCTAATTAAATTGAAGAGTCAGCGTTAAAAAGTTATCCTAAGACCGCAGAATACCTCTAAACGAGTTTTGCATGAATGACGAAATCTCCTTCATTCAGTTTGTCGGGGGGGTCCATTCTTTTAGAACGTGTGTGGCGAAAAGTGAAATAAATTGAAAAAGGAATAGGATTATGTTTTTGGGGCCGACTATACTTCAAGTCAAAGGAATAAACAGGGTGAAATTGAAAAAAAGGTATAAATCGAATAGACTGTACTGGGGAATTCTGAGGCACTCGATCAAAACAAAGACGTTCCCCTAAATTCTCGAACATGTAAACTGACAAAGATGACTCAGTTTGGGCCAGAGCCTAAGAACTCCACAGGGATCCTCCCAAACGGATTCATTTCAGCAGACCACTTGGGTTGGCAAATCCTCTTTGCTCCTAATATTTTCCTTTCACGTCAATGGGTGGGGCTGAAGATAGTGAAAGGATGGGGGCCTAGTTTTTTTCTTCTCACCATCTGAATTCTAGAACAAACAGGAATGACTTTTGACATTAAGATAAGTCAAGTTCGCAAAGGGTAGCCTTACAATAATTCGATAAGTCAGGAAGTAGCTACAATGAATAGATGTGAAGGGTAAAGAAAAAAACTCAGTGGTCCACCAAAACAACGCTACCCTTCACATTTAAGCCTCTGAGACTTCTGATTGGTCAAGTGTGTGTGTGACGTCACTTTGGCTAGGGAACAACTTGTGGGATGTAAATTCGACACCACGGTTTTAAAATGGGATTTATAAGGTAAAGGTTAACTTGTTATAAGATTAAATAGAGCTATCTTTTCATTATAAATCTTCCTACATCGGAGAAAGATTTCATACTGTACACCAGGCTGGAAGCTGATAAAACCATCTTCATTCTTCTATCAGCTGTCTTCAAAAACATTATATACTTTGAGAGATAAAATCTGACTTTCACATCTTGATATCACTAACAAGGTAAGAATATTGTATTTCTAATCGATGCATTCACAGAACTCCATCCTCTCATGCTTGAATGATTATTTATTTATTTTATTTATTTTCTTCAGTTTATTACGCATTTTACAGATATGTTTTCTTCCATCGGGTGAAAGACATAATAGTCTAGCAGGATGTAATTCGCACTAAAAGATAGCACTCCTAAACATCTGAATGAACAAGGTCATTCTGAGATGATGTCATATGTTGCATGATGACAAAGTATCATAGCGGGGTAAAATTCATCACTATTACAAGGTTACGAATAAAGATTTCTTTATGAACGATTTTTCCCATTTTGCTTGTGATCGGCCAAGTGATAAACAATAATGTATTCACTGGTCAGACTGGTGTATTTCAGCAGTCAGAGTACAGGTTGCATCCAGGATTTGTTGCTATGTCGGGAATGTTAAGACAAATGTATGCCTTTTAGAGTAATTCATAGTCAAGGCTGTATGCATATAGATGTACTTTAATATGTATTATCTAAAACTTTTTATCCGACGATTTAGTGTGTAGGAAAAAGTTAACAAAAATCTTAATCTTAACATAAATAAATCGTAACATGAATCATAACCTTGACATTGTATTACCTGATATTTTTACCAATATGTTATTTTTAAATCATTTAAATTTCCTCATTTGCTCGGATCAAAAGCCGTTTTTTGTGGGAATTAACAATGTTTGCAAGTTTTTTAACAAATATGTTTTATTTTTCAAGACCATAGCATATTGAAATAAGTTCATGAACAGAGTGAAAGTTGATTTGAAATTCGACGTGTATTCCTCAGATGCTTTCTGTAAAATATACATTGATAATGATGATAATATGATATAGATAATAATGATGATAGTTCTAATACTAATTCTAATTCTAATAATAATAGTAATAATAATAAGATGATAAACAAAAATTATCTAATATTAATTATGATAATAACAATTAAGAATAATAAAAGTAATAATGATAACAATAATTCCAATAATCATATTAATAATAATAAAAATGAACATAAACGTAACTTTAACCAGGGTGATGTGTCCCTTTTTGAGTGTGTGTGCGTTAGTTTTTGCATTTTTGTGTAGGGTCATCTACCTATACGTTTCTGTAAATATGTTGATGATCCAACTACTTTGTAATTTTCTTTAGTGTATTTTCCATTTTATTTGCTTATCTATGTTTGTCACAAAAATGTCATTGTATTCTTTGAATTTGCATAGATACTATGTGCAATCAATCGCTAAGCAATCGATGGTACGATTGATTGTTTGTAATGGGTTGCATAGGTACTATGTGCAATCAATCACTAAGCAATCGAAGGTACGATTGATTGTTTGCAATTGGTTGCATAGATACTATGTGCAATCAATCGCTAAGCAATCGATGGTACGATTGATTGTTTGCAATGGGTTGCATAGATACTATGTGCAATCAATCGCTAAGCAATCGATGGTACGATTGATTGTTTGCAATGGGTTGCATAGATACTATGTGCAATCAATCGCTAAGCAATCGATGGTACGATTGATTGTTTGCAATGGGTTGCATAGATACTATGTGCAATCAATCGTAACAATCAATCGTACGATCAAGTGGTAAATTTGTACTAGTAGGAGTAATATTAGTATTGCTTGTATTGTTGTCATAACCGTCATTATTTTTGTATTGGTTACATTAAAATCATAATACTCACCATCATCATCATCATCATCATCATCATCATCATCATTATGATTCCCCTAAAAGTACCTACCGTCTTAATTACACCTGGAATAATAACAATCAAATCCATATTAAATCAATATGAATTCAAGTAGAAATTTACAAACTGTAGTGCAAGTGACCCAGGAAGCACATCGAAGGCATGGAGAAGTAGGTTACAAAAGCCAAAATATGTTAGGAATTCTATGCCTTCAGAAACAACTCAGGCTTCAATTTTAATAAACTTGATACATAATAACCTAAACCTTGTCGAATTCAAAGATAAACTTGTGCGACCCTGCCTGGCCTTGGCCCAAAGATGTCACACAGATAAAAGTGACTTCCTCGTTTCCATGGCCAGCTGTGGCCGGCCAAGCACGTACATCTCTCGTCACGCCGAGCTTCCTGACTACGCCACGCTACGCCTTCTCCAGACTATAACTCTTTTTGTTCCAACGGTGATTAGTTCGTTGTTTTTGTTAAATACCAGAAAACAAACGATGCTTAAATTTCAACTTTTTGTAATTCTTTAACCATGTATTGTATCACAATAAAGTGTTTGGTTCAAAAGTTGAAGGATATTCACTAATGCACTTTTTTCGTGTTTATAAATTATTGTAAATTATAAGGATAAGTTACTTTTGTTTTAGTTCTTCATGTATCTGTTCCTCATTCGTTTAGCATTTTTTAGATTTAAAAATTAGAAAAGATCCTGTTAGATCCTGTACGAAATTTGCAGATTTCTCAAAAAAATGTCTGTAGCGGCTTATATACATTGCTGGATATGCAGAATGCTTAATTCCTTCTCTTAAAAGTGATATAGTTTGACGACCGTTAATTTATTTCTTAATGGAGCAAGGTGTGTATTAAACTACATAGTATGTATATCATATAAACGTTCCATCAGTGGTTCCGCACACCAAGAGTTAAATCAAATGTCAAGAAAACGACATGGGTGCGAGGGCGGTAAATATCTCTCTCCAACAGGGGCGTACGCAGGGGGTGGTTTTGGGGGTTCAAACGCCCCCCCCCCCTTTGGTATTTTAATGTGTGTAAACCCCCCTAAAAAAAACTAAAAGCCCCCCCCCCCCCTTTTTTTTTTAAATTAAAAAAAAAAAAATTATGCCCACGGCTAACGCAAAGTGACCTTACCCCCCCCCCCCAACGAAAAAAAATGTCAAATTTTCAAATTCCGAGACCAAACCAAAAAAAAAAAAGTGTCCGCTCACCCCCCCCCCCCCCCCCCCCCCCCCCCCCTGACTGCGACATTTCGGCCGGCGCGATTTTCAAATTTTCGGGAGCAAAATATTTTTGGCCAGATTTTAAACCCCCCCCCCCCTTGAAAAAATCCTGCGTACGCCCCTGCTCTCCAATCATTCTGTATCAGCGAGGATGAATATGAAACGGGAAGAGAAGGAGATGAGATAGGGCTAGGGAAGCATGATGCAGGAAGAAAACATACACAAATCTAAATGAGAAGCCCATAAAAAGAGAGAGGGAGAGAGAGAGAGAGAGAGAGAGAGAGAGAGAGAGAGAGAGAAAGAGAGAGAGAGAGAGAAAGAGAGAGGGTCATGTCCTACTGATAATGCCAAGGATAAGTTTGTGACTGGGTTATACTCTTCGTTATAATCATCACCCTTATACCGGCATAGGAACTTACGCTGTCTATATTGTTTCGATATTTCAACAAACAAAGAGACCAGCCAAATTATGATTCTGTTTAAATACTCATGAGGAAAAGTTGTTTTATATTTCAATAGTTCTGATGAGTAAGGGAAGACGTGATAAGCGTTATAAACGTGATTAGACCGTCATGGTATTCTCATTCATTTTTTCATTGTATTTCATTAAATACTGCCAACTTTTCGGCGATTATAGTTTGCAGTGAATGGTGGAGATAATGAAATCAAATTTTGAAGTAAAAATAAAATGTTGTAATATCTAGGCACGCCTCAACAGCCCCCGTGAAATTATCGTTCACAAGGTGCCTGGTGTTCATTTACAGTATTTTCTGCTTAAGCTAGATATAAGCATAGCCAGCTTTTTCACTTTCGGATTTACAGCAGTCCAAGCGAAATGTGCCGACAAATGAATACAAATACTTTCTCCAAAATAATTTTACTTGTGTTAACAATATTTCCCCAAAACCATAATTAGAACGGGTAGGCTATAATGACACGATGCTTCTAGATGTCACTGGAATGTTACCGTTTTCAACGCAATAATGCGTATCTTTTGATCTGGCCTATGATTAATTGTTTTACTCTTTTTATGTACGATACTTTTGTTGTTCCATTTTCTAACTGATATTCAGTGATTGATTCATGTTTGCTTTCCACAGATGAAGCTGTCACTTGTCTTGTGTTTGATAGCGCTCCTAGTGGCCTCCACTAAAGGTAAATACACCCATTCTTGCATTGACATTCCCAGTGGCAGGTCCAGGATTCTCTGTCGAGTGGGGGCGGCTGAGGTGTCAAAAGGGGATAACAACCAAGAAAAAAATCTAGGGGGAAAAGGTCCTTAAATTTGTCCAGAAAAGCACAGGAGCATTTGTAATACCAATTTTTACTCTGCAGTGATCTAAAGGTATAACGCATTTAGTTTGGTAGGAGTGGAGGTGGCGTGACCCCGGTGCCCACTCCCAATCCATCCGCCATTATTTCTGCTTATGATTTTTATTCCATATTTGGTCATGCATTTCAAGCATATGATTCAAATTTGTCAAGATCCCCGTTTTAAACCACAATCCATTTCAACCACAATCAATCGCAGGGCTACTATCGCCTTATTCTAGTATGGTCTAACAATACATTAGTAACGAAACGAATTGATACCTTATGTACTGATTATCATAATTCCTGCTTAACTAGGGGAAATTAAAAACCCAATAAATAAGCAATATATAAATGAGAAAATAATCTTTAATTTCTACTTTGCATAATATCAACTTTTAAAAAATGATCCATTTATGTTGTGTCTATCTTCAGGGCAAAGTCGTCAGAGACAGTACCAACCATACCGGCAACAATACAATCAGCAATACCCAAGACAACAGCAATATCCACCAAACTCCAACCCAGGATACAATCAACCATGGTATCAAAACCAACAGGGTACATGGGGGATGGATCCAGAAGAACAACGTGAACAGCGAGAGAATATGATGGAAAACCAACGAGAACAGCAAGAGAATATGATGGAAAACCAACGAGAGATGCAGGAAAACATGAGGGAACAACAAGAGAATGCCTATGAGAACGGACAGCGGTGGCAGCAACAACCAAGGCAACAGCAACCATGGCAGCAGCAACCACGGCAACAACAACCGTGGCAACAGCAACCGTGGCAGCAGCGACCAAGGCAACAACAGCCATGGCAGCGACAGAATGGGCAGCCATATTACAACCAACAGCAACAAGGTTGGCAGCCTTATTACAACCAGCAGCCACAGCGACAACCCTACAGAGCCCAGCCCCAGCGACAGACACCTTCATGGTGGAATCAGAACATTTGGCCTCAGCAGCAGCAGGGCTTCTACCCACAACGTCAATCTGGATTGGGTGCTGCCGACCCCGAGGCACAAGAGAATATGATGGAGCAACGGGAAGAGATGCAGGAAAACGCCATGGAAGACCAGCAAGATCAACAGGAAAACGCCATGGAACTGGAACAAGATAGGCAGGAGGAAGCTCGTGAGCTTCAGGAGAATGCACGTGAAAATGGAGCTCCGCTGAACTGGAACCGTAATCCCCGCGGGCGGCGACCCACTCCCCAACGTCGGCGACCAGCACAGCGATTCGACCCATAGGTCCACTACAGGAGGGAAATTGAATTCTGAAATAATGTAATATATCCTATTTTAGGTTTTCTTTGATTTTGTTTTCTTCATGTAAACATTCATGAAATAATTGTAACCAAGACAAAAATTACCAACATTTCTAAAGATCAAAGTTAAAATTATCATAGTGCAAGTAAATCGACATACCATGACACATTTAGACTATTACACAATAGCATGATTAACATAAAATCAACATCTAGTGAAATATTGTTAAAGATCAACTTGGTAGCTTATAGTAAATATTAGTAAATATTGTTCTTAGTTGTTCATTTTCCTAAACCATGTGGAAAGTATAAAGAGCAAAGGATTTGCAAACATCTTCCTATTAGCACACTAAAAGTAATTATTTTCTTTGAGACTTACTGATATTTCCAAAATGTTGAATGCAACATTATTTTAACCGGCATTCTGTACATCATCAAGATCATGAGCATAATTTTTGTTGTGGTAAAACGAACACCAATATGAAAAAAAATATAACTGTTGGTGTTGAACAATCCTGAAAAGATTTATATCTGTTGGAGGCCAAACAACAGTAAAATATGTTTTGCAATAAACATCACTCGAGAACGAGACAATACTTGGACATGCCATTTTTATGTCATTTTTAATTTATGTGATGATGGATTCATTGGCTGATTGAATTAACAATTCAGTGAGTGAGAGGGATTTGTTGATTGAGTTTCGTGAGTGATTAAGAGAGAGATTGATCGGTTGATTGATTGATTGGAGGAGTGATTGATAGAGTATGTGATTAGTTGATTGGTTAAGAGAATGAGCGGGTGATTGGTTAATTAAGTGAGTGAGTAAGAGAGTGAGTAAGAAAGTGAGTAGGTAATTGATCGATTGAGTGAGTGAGTGATTGAATGAGTATGTGATTAGTTGATTGGTTAAGAGAATGAGCAGGTGATTGCTTAATTAAGTGAGTGAGTAAGGGATTGATTGATCGATTGATCGATTGAGTGAGTGAGGGATTGAATGAGTATGTGATTAGTTGATTGGTTAAGAGAATGAGCGGGTGATTGGTTAATTAAGTGAGTGAGTAAGGGATTGATTGATCCATTGATCGATTGAGTGAGTGATTGAATGATCATGTCATTAGTTGATTGGTTAAGAGAATGAGCGGGTGATTGGTTAATTAAGTGAGTGAGTAAGAGAGTGAGTAAGATAGTGAGTAGGTAATTGATCGATTGAGTGAGTGAGTGATTGAATGAGTATGTGATTAGTTGATTGGTTAAGAGAATGAGCAGGTGATTGCTTAATTAAGTGAGTGAGTAGGGATTGATTGATCGATTGATCGATTGAGTGAGTGAGGGATTGATTGATCGATTGATCGATTGAGTGAGTGAGGATTGAATGAGTATGTGATTAGTTGATTGGTTAAGAGAATGAGCGGGTGATTGGTTATTAAGTGAGTGAGTAAGGGATTAATTGATCCTTGATCGATTGAGTGAGTGATTGAATGATCATGTCATTAGTTGATTGGTTAAGAGAATGAGCGGGTGATTGGTTAATTAAGTGAGTGAGTAAGAGTGATGATAGTGATCGAATTGATCGATTGAGTGAGTGAGTGATTGAATGAGTATGTGATTAGTTGATTGGTTAAGAGAATGAGCAGGTGATTGCTTAATTAAGTGAGTGAGTAAGGGATTGATTGATCGATTGATCGATTGAGTGAGTGAGGGATTGAATGAGTATGTGATTAGTTGATTGTTAAGAGAATGAGCGGTGATTGCTTAATTAAGTGAGTGATTAAGGATTGATTGATCGACTGATCGATTGAGTGATTGAATGAGTATGTGATTAGTTGATTGGTTAAGAGAATGAGCGGGTGATTGGTTAATTAAGTGAGTGAGTAAGGGATTGATTGATCGATTGATCGATTGAGTGAGTGATTGAATGATCATGTTATTAGTTGATTGACTTAGAGAATGAGCGGGCGATTGCTTAATTAAGTGAGTGAGTAAGGGATTGATTTTTTTTTTTTTATGGTCATTTTTTATTCTTTTCTCTCTTGAAACAAATTATAATCATAGTACAAATTACAATCATCATATGTAACTCTCACTGCAAGTGTGATGACATTATAAATCAGTATAAATTTTGTCTTACAAACGGCTTCAAAAGAAACTTACATAGTTAGTTCCTATACATCATATTTGAAACAAAAATTCATATTTTCAAAGAAAACATATGTAGTTGTATAATCCAAAATTTTTTGTTTTAACAATGTAGCAACTTATACTTCTTTTTATACTGTTGTCCTGAGAGAAAAGTTTTCTCTTTTTGTTAACCCTACCCGACCTCTCCCTTATCCCCCTCCCCCCCCCCCCCCCGCCTCTTAACCGGTGGACGACTGGCTCTGGGTTCCAATTGTTTGTCTAATACTCAGGTTTTCCCATTTAGAAAAATGAATAGTGAGAGTTCCCCTCATTGCTGCCAATTTCCTTTCTTCTACTTTATCCCCTATTATACTATTCTTTATTTCATTAAAAGAGGGTGGTTTTTTAAGTTCTCTATTTCTATAAATCAGATATTTAACAAGAATTAAAACATGATTTATTAATTGATATTTTCCTTTATTTCTCTCCTCTTTCCAATACAGAATTTCCTCCAAACTACAAATATGTATTTCAAAGTCTAAAAATCTCGTGCACATTCCCCACACTGATTGTGCAAGTTCACAAGTATAGAATAAATGTTTATATGTTTCTTCATCTTTTTCGCAAAATGAGCATAAGTTAGTCGAGACAAGACCAAAACGGAAGAGGTGATGGTTTGCATATAATATATTATGTATAAGTTTGAACTGAAACTCTCTTAATCGACTGTTAAGTGTACACTGTCTTAGTCTTAAAAATATGTTTTCTATTTCCTTACAGGAAAAACCATAGTTCCTTCCAATTCTCTCAAAAACCAGGTTTAAAATCATCTTTCTTTATTAATTGTACATAAATTTGTTTTGATTTTAAATCAGCTATATTAGCTGTTTTCTTCCCCAAAGTGAAATCAGTTCCAGAATTATTTTTTCTTCTCCCTTTCTAAAATTATTTTTCCAACAAACTGGTAAACAGGCATAAAAGTGCTTGATCTTTTCAATTTCATTTACTTCAACACCTAAATCGATAAAATGCCTGCCACTTTTTAGTTTACCATCGTTTTCCAGAATATGTTTTAATTTGTAAATTCCTTTGTCATACAACCTCTTATCGTATATACAACTTCCTTTATATCGAATAAGTTTATTATTAAAAATTACCACATCACCAATGTCTATACTCCTTATATGTCTCGTATTCACCCAATCTTCTAATAAATCCATATAAAATTGTGGAGCTGTCACTTTTAATAAACTTGGTATATAGTCACATGAAAATCAAATCTCCACCCACGTGTTCAGTGACAAAGTTAAAATATTGTTTCCATTTCATGTCTTCATCGAGTGATCGAGTGATTGATTGAGTGAATGAGCGAGTGATTGAATGGTCATGTGATTAGTTGATTGACTTAGAGAATGAGCGGGTGATTGCTTAATTAAGTGAGTGAGTAAGGGATTGATTGATCGATTGATCGATTGAGTGAGTGAGTGATTGAATGATCATGTGATTAGTTGATTGATTAAGATAATGAGCAGGTGATTGGTTAATTAAGTGAGTGAGTAAGGGATTGATTGTTCGATTGATCGATTGAGTGAGTGATTGAATGATCATGTAATTAGTTGATTGATTAAGATAATGAGCGGGTGATTGGTTAATTAAGTTAGTGAGTAAGAGAGTGAGTAATTGATTGATTTATCAATTGATTGATTGAATAAGTTACTGAGTGAATATGTGATTTTTGCTTGCTTGATTAATTGATTGATTAATCTATTGACTGAATGAATAAGTCAATTAATGAACTGATTGATAGTTGCTTGATTGATTGGTTAGTTGATTGGTTGGCTGATTGCTGATGAATTGATTAATGATTTTAAAAAAATGGTTTACTTGTTTCACTAAAGACGGGCTGATTGTAGTGTTATACAGTATACAGAAGGTCTTTTAACTCATATCATTCTGTTTCAGTGATAAATGATTTTCTGGTCCTCTATCCTTCAATGTTGATTGATTGATTCATAATTTGATTTAATCAAAATGGAGTTGTCCATGTAAATAACAAAGTTAGTGATGAATAAATTAACGACATTCACAATTTTAAGAAACAGATTTTAAAACACAATCTGAAAATTACCACTTATCGTAATAATACTAAAACAAACTATTGGTCAATACTGATATTACGACATTTTTCAACTACGGAAGAAATTATGAAATGGTAGGTCAACCGGGACAAATCTCTAATTGCATTATTTCATTTCTTCTACCACCTATTTTGTTTGAATTACATTTTATTTGCATTTCTTATATTAAAGATGGTTTAATCATGGAAATTCGTCCACCTTTAAGTAGAACTTATTTCTCGTGTAATATCATGGCCCTAGGTCGATGGTAATATTCAATACATTACTGATGAGAATGTCATCCTTTTCAAAAATATACATTAAAATACATGTAGAAATCATGCTACATCAACATGAAGATTGGCCATATTAGTGATGAACTACAAAACATAAATATTTCTGGGATCAATTTCGATCCCATCTTTCAATTTTCTGATTTAACAATCGCCGTTGAGCAAACATAAAATACGAAAATACATTTTGTTTTCAGGTCTATGTGTAGGGACAAATCACAATTCTACTCACGGTTTCAAACTTGTCAAACAACTGTCACCTATAGATGACTGCTAGGTAGAGGTCAGTGCTGCTAGGTCGTTAAAATGCGAAAAATAATTTCAATCACATGGGTTTGGAAGTGAAAAAAGACTGTTATGTGATTTTTTTTTTCAAGTGCGGGAAACACTGATTATTATGAATTATAAACATCGTACATATCCTCTTCATGACATATATTGAATTGCATATTTTTCATCACATTTTTTCTGAAATGCGTAAATTTCTACAAGAATCATAAGTGCCATTAGCTGGTTGCCAGCATTCATGTCCATAAAGAGGCTGAGGGGAATGGCAGCGTAAAAATGTAGCAACAATTTGAATCATAGAAATAAGTTATATTCACCGACATCGTAGCATATCAATCTACCAACACAATTTATGAATATCGACTATCGTCCTACATCCCCCGTCCCGTCGGTTTTGACTATACTAATGGTACAAAATATAAATTATTCGAAAAGATTTATTCATTTCCCATTGTTGAATATACCCTTCAAGATTTAAAACACCCCATAGGTGATGACAAGTAGAATTATTTGGATGGCATCAATGGAATTCACGTAGAAAGCCTTCAAATTACATTATCATCATCCTATCATGTTTTTTGTTTAGATATATAACATGTTTAATTAGAACATCGTTACATGACACGCAAGTTTTTTTTCTATATCAAATCTTAAAACCCATAAGTTATTAGTATTCAGATTTAGATGAGATATGGAATCAGGAAAATAAATATAATCATAAGTATATCAAAATTCAAACATACCCTTTTATAGAATAATGATTCGTAAAGAATGCTCGAATGCTGAATATATCTTTCTCTCGATCCTTTAAGTTCTACAGAGCGTAATGAGTGTTTGACTAGTTTAACCCATGATAGGATATCACATGCCATGAACATGATTAATATGCATCAAGTATAACACGTTTTAAAGAGAAGATTGACACCTGGTAAGAAGAATTATAATTTCTGAACTTTTTCATTTTATGTCAGATAAGATCAATATCAGAGGTGTCCACTGAAAAGAAAATGCTATTTGAATGCCATGCCAGCTCACCACAGACCACACATTACGAAAACTCATGATGTCTGGCAACATTAGGCATATCGATTTCTCAATTGATGGCCAATTTCATAAAATCATGCTCTTGGCCTATAGGCCTACTTTTACGAAGGTCAAGATTCTGCTGTCGAATACTCTATATAGAGTGCACAAAACGAACTTTGTCCCACATTCATCCCATCATCACAGACAGGGATGAGGCCTTCTTTCCCAAGGGAGGAGGATGAAGTACCTCGTGATGATGACTGTCCATCCGTTTCCATAGAAACCATTCCATATTGTGTTACTTTCCTTTCAATATTTTTGAAGATGATTTTGACGCAACCTTTAAGTTTGTGTAATGTACGAAGTAAAGAAAGCCTTATCTCATCAAATCAGGGTGTGGATTTGAAGGGCAAATCAACATCTTACTTAAGTTCATCTCATCACAAAGTGAAGGTTAACGCAACACTTCGCCCTGTAGAACCCATTGTGACAAATTTTACTTTTTTTCTGAAGATAATTTGACCGTTGGATTTTAATACTTAAAACATGATATGACATCGAAGCGACGATTTATCCGCCAGTTCATACACGTCCTTATGATCTTCCTCTCTACGATTTACGTATTT